TATTGCGCGTAAACCTTTACGACGGACATGGAGCAGGTCCCGTGGCCATAACGAGACGAGTCCTACCCAACGAAGAAGGAATACGCGTGCTCGTACCAGGAGTATACATTGTGGGCGGATTCAAGCGCAACATGAAAGCACGCTGCTTTACAATGATCGTGACGGAGGACGAAGACGTCATCGCACGCGAGGACGGAGTCGATTCCGGCATAGGTGACCACCTCTGGATGCGCATGATCAAGTTTATCCGCTAGGTGGAAGTGTTGAAGGTACATTAAAATTTCAAAGGTCTACCATCCAGTGATTCTGAGAGAGTTCCAACAGTTTTCTCTATGAGATTTTGCCTATTAGTATTGAACTTTACCGTACAAATTTCGAACATGAATTCTGGCTCAGTGGTTTGGGTGTGCTGGCTCCTCCAATCTGTTGAGTGAGGGTTCGAGTTCCATTACGGTTAAAGTTAGGAGGCAGTTATTTGGTGTTTGTGGTTCACCAAGCTCCCCAGCAGGAGTCACGTCCCCCGGGCGTCTTTTGATCTTTTGTTCATTATGAGATTTTAAGGTGATGTAACCATAACTTCCTTTTCACGTAAAATCAATTTGTATGTTAGAGTTGATACAGTATAGTATACATAGCTAGGAAAATTGAGAAGTCACGACGTCTATACACATTAATATAGACAAACCTTCAACTGATCTCTTTTGCAATACTTGTAGCCGTGTCGTCATTTAATATAGCCGGGTCGAATCTCTCAATTTTGAGTATATTTCCAAAGCACGTCACTGGTTTCTTGTAACCCAATTTGGTGCTGCGCATGTACATAGAATGCATTGTTACATCTGGATAGCGACATTTATTAGATTGAAGCAAGCGATTACGTGAGTCGCTTGCAGCACAAGCGGTAGGAATACTTTGGGAAAGAAATTGCGCTTGACGCGCATGAGGTGCATTCGTCTGCAATCGTTTATATCGTGCACCAAGATTAGCACACGAATCAGCGTATGGTATTAAGCCAGAACGAAAAGACAAGATGAACCTTTTAATATACCGTTGCTGTGGACAGCCGCTTTCCAAAGTCTCCGTCAGACAGCAGCAAATTGCCATTTGAGGTAATCTGAATTTTTCAGCACTAGGAAGTTTGTGCTGCGCACTTCCATAGCTCTCAATACGTATCATATTTCTGCAGAATATCAAAAGCTGAGTCTTCATATTTCCTTAGATTTTCCACATAGTCTACAAATAGCTCTATACACAACCATTTCCGAAACACACCAGCGCGTATAAGCTAGAGTCTTCTCACTTCGTTAGCACACCTCTATAACCTTGCTATTTTTGATCGCCATTTCAGTTCGAAGCATAGATTGGACCACCACTCTGCCATGACCACCCATGTGTTCCAGCCATTTCAAATGCGTTCAGAGCGTCAACTTTATCGAAATTATCGACTCTGCCTAAGTAAGGTTCTTAACCATTGTAACCAGGATATCAAACACGCCTTGTTGCAAGTTTTTGCGTCAATTTTCTCTGTAATTCCAATACACAACCTAGTTAACTACAGACTTGCCATCATTCTAACCGTGTTCTTCTTTTGCACTTCTTCTCCTTCACCACCCCGTGAGCTGACGCTATGCCTATAACATCTTCTTCAGCTTCGCCCATGCCGTTTTCCAGCCTTTCCATCCCGGTGGTCAATGATATGAACATGAGCTAAGACTTCTGAGAAGCTTTTTTATGTGTCAGAGAAGCATCAGCTGTGTCTTTGAAGCAAACACCTGGGTTGTCCGGCAGCATACTATAAACAGCGTTCAATAGTACAATTTCTATGATACATTAAAGCGTCATCGCCACTTGCATCGAGAAGAAATCTACGTATCTCAGCACAAACACAAATCTAAATTTCCTGCTTGAATCAATGTAATACCGCGTCGAGAGGAACGGCAAATAGTGTGAAAGCAAATATTCCTGGAAGATGTGAGTATCGCATCGGTCAGAAACTGAAAGTAAGTGTTAAGTATCCACTCGGTCGTAAGGGTGGACGGAAAAGTTGCTGCACCAATCCATTAAGTTGTATCACTTTAATATACAGCATTGTCGGGATGTCGGTGCACGTTTTGATGTTTTCTTAGTGACAACGGGGCGAGATTTGCAAAATTGTGTTCTGGGGGAAGCCGTTTACTTTGACCCGTTTACGTTGCTTCTGACGAAGAGGGATTCCTTATCTTAGCCGAATGAAGTTATCTTTTGGCATCACAGAAAACTACTTACATTTGACAGGCGTGATGGTTTATGACGACGGCAATTCTTGCGAATATTTTGATTGGACCAAGGGAACTAGATACGGCAATAAAATCGCTTGAAGGCGTATGGTTGATACAAGCGATCAAGCCTCTGGCAGGCTGATACATAACAAAAGCAAGTACACCAAACGAGAGTATTATTCTGTCTGTGTGGAGATAATTTGATATTTTCTAAAAATGATTACCCCAAAGCAAAAATAATTAACGAATGAAGAGGAAATTGAAGCAGAACTGAGCAGAGGGGCACGAATTGACTTCGTTAATTTAGGTTTCCTACATATGCATGAAGCTCTCAAAAAGGAGTCACCATCTAGACAAGCAGTGTTTACGGCCAAGGACCGTAAACCAAACACCAAGATTACGGCCAGCACAACCAGAATGCCGTAAACCACAGAGCCTTGATTACGGTGAGCCATAATCAAGGTTGAAAGTCACCGATGAGTGATGAGTTGCCGCCAGCGTGGCATGTTTCACGCTTACTAGCAACACTCCTCCACAACTCGATCACTCGGTTAGACCACACAACAGTCGGAGGTAAACAAGACGCGGTGTCGGGAGCGGCTTCGTCAGGAAGTTGGCCATCTGTGACTCGGTCGGGACATACTGCAAAGCGGATGAATCCTTGTTGATCACGTACAAAATGTGCCCGTTAGTCGATGTGCTTGGCGTGTGGCGTGTATCCTTGGTTGCTTGCGATACTAATTGCTGAGGTGTTGTCCATCAGGATGATAGTGCCACCGGTCGCCTTCAGGCCAAGTTCACCAAGGAGATAGCGGATCCAGAGCACCTCTTGTACGGTAAGTGCGAGTGCCATGTATTCGGCTTCAGCGGGTGAGAGGGCCACTTTAGACTGAAGCTTGCTCTTGTATACGACAGGGCCACCATACAGAGTCACAAGTACGCCAGACGTCGAGCGTCGACTTGCTTTGTCCTCACCCCAGCTCGCATCGCTGAATACCCGTAGTGAAACCGCATCACCATTGCCCCTGTAGTATCAAATACCGACCCTGATCGTTCCTTTTAGGTATCACGCACACGTTTGGCGGCGCGCCAATGAGCAGACGTAGGGCGATCAAGGTACTGGTACAGAATCAAGAGTGCAACTGAGATGTCAAACCGAGTTGCATTCGCCACATATAGCAAAGAGCCAACAAGTTCTCGGTACCGACGCTTATCGTCAAAGGCTTCATGCGTCGCATCAATGGTGAAGTCTTGACCGATAACCAGTGGATTGCGGACGGCGTGAGCATTATGGCAACCAAACTTGGTTAACATCTTGGTAATAAACTGAATCTGCTTTAAGATCAATAGCCCTTTATCTTGCTCGTAGACAATCTCTATTCCGAGCACATATCGGACGAAACCAAGAGACTTAAGCACGAAATGCTCTCGCAATTCATCACAGAAGCCGTCAGCAATGGCTTGTGTCTTGCTTCCAGCAAGCAAATCATCCACATACAACACCACGTAAACAACATTATCGTCAACGTTGTCTTCCGTAGGTCGGATGAAGAAGCACGGATCAGCAAGACCATTGGCTAAATCCGAGTTGTTTGAAGACTGACCGAATCTTCTTGTACCATGCGGCCTGTTTAAAGCCATACAGGCTGCGGCGGAAATTTCCATACCATGCCAGCTTCGACCTTGATATCCTCCAGAGAATGCATGTGGACAATTTCTTTAAGATCACCGTTGAGGAATGCCGTTTCGACGCCATGCTGCCGAATCGCATAGTCTTTTTCACGCAATGTATACAAAAACGTTCGAATGGTGTTCATGCTGGCCACAGGTGAGTAGGCATCGAAGTAGTCAACACCGTGTGTCTGAAGGAATCCGCGGGTCACTAGTCGAGCTTTGTGTCGTACCACGTTACCACGCTCGTCATACTTTCGAGCAGACATCCATCTCGAGATAATCACTTTTCCATCGCAAGGCTTCGTGAAAATATTCCACGTGTGATTCATCACATGAAAGCGTATCTCATTTCGGTTTGCTTCTTTCCATTCGGCAGCTTCAGGGGTTGCCATGGCTTCTTGGTACAAATTATGCCGGTCATTAACAGCAAGAGTGATCTCGTATGAGTCGACACGTTGTCTCTTGCTCTCTGGTACTGCATCAGCCTCTATATCAAATTGATCACCAGGGGAATCGCTGGGAAGAGCCACACCACGATCGTATCCATTTGTCAGCAGTCGATCTGGATCGGATTCGAGTCGGTGAGGGCGAGTGCGTTCACCGCTGAAAACTAGACGGTCTTCAAGTACAGCTGGAGGATAGCGTAACGATACGTATTGTCTGACTAGAGCTTGAGACGGACCATTGGATAAGAAAACCATGAGATAACTAAAACGGGTGCAAGCAGGTAGGGTTATTCAAAAAAATTTAACTCGAGTTTTTAAAATTAAATCGTTAACAAAAAGTTTTCAACGTGCTAATGGTCGAAATAACCAAGGTAGGGACACGAGCCTGAATGTCAATTGGAGCATGCGAGCGGTCTCCCCTTTCCCCGCAATTGGCATCAGCGAGTGGATATCAGCACTAGTCATCGAGTCTTCTACTTCCATTTCCTCAGGTTCAGCAGCACTTGGGTGTCAACCTCTATATCGTCTACGTTGTTCCGTTGAGTAGGAAGTGGTTGAGCTTGAGAGTCATCATCGTTCTCCATGAGTGGTATATAATTATCGCCACCATTACGGATCAGCATAACAACACGATGCGATGGAGGGGGGCGTTCATCAAGCTGAATCGTCCGCGTGGTCGCAATGCGCTGGTCATCAACGTCCCGGACACGAGAACCTCGCGTCGTGTCGGAGTAGCCGAGGAAGGTGCATCGATGTGCCTTCGAATCCCATTTCGAACGCTTTGAATCGTCAATCCTGATGAAACCAGGAGATCCAGATACCTTGAGATGTTCTTACGATGGTTGCTTGCCTGTCAACACTTTGAGAGGACTCACGTCAGGGCGAGCTGTGTTTGGAATACGATTGATGATATAAGTGGCAGTTACTACTGCTTCACCCCACCATTGCCGATCGACGTTCATGTAATGAAGTATTGAACGGGCCATTTGCAAGATGGTCCGGTTCATGCGTTCCCCTAAGGCGTTTTGTTGAGGACACAGATTTGGTGAATGATACCTTTTTCTGCACAGATCGGTTGAACTTCGCACTGGTGTACTCACCACCATTGTCACTGCGAATACAGCGAATTCTCACGCCGTGCTGGTTCACAACCAGCTTCTTGAGCCCAACGAATTTGTCAAACACTTGACCTCTGCTCTTAAGTAGGTACACACTGACGTATCGACTAAAGTCATCAATGAAGGTTACCACATACTGAGATCCACCACGAGTCCTGGGCTTTGCGGACCCATGTTGTCGCTGTGGGCAAGTTTGACCAGTGAATTTGACCTCACTAACAGATTTGCGAGCAAACGAAGAGGTCGCCATTTTGCCTCGAGCGCAGCCGTCACATACAGTAGCGACATCATCATTGTGATCGATCGACGGGATCCCGTCAGCACCTTTCACGAGCAACTTCGCCTTAGCTTGAGACACGTGTCCGAGCCAAGCATGCCAGGTTATGTCACCACTATTCAACTCTTCACATGCGTTCGCCTGTGGCATGAGTGCATGTTGGCCAACATGCCATGAATACAGTTTACCAATACGAGGAGTTCCAGCAGTCGCCTTCTCATCAATCATTAACGATGCACCAGGAGTATCAACTTGGATAAAAAACCCGTGCCAGTCAACGCGGGCACCGACACTAGCTTCTTCGCCAGGTGCGGGACATGGAGTAATTTCGTGAGCTTGACACTACAACCATCAGCGAGAATCATTCGAACTTGACCAACTCCTCATGCTTGGAGTCTTTGCCCACTGGCAACCATCACACTGATGGGCGTATCCAATCGACGATATTCCCTAAAATCATCAAAACCGCCAGAGCTATCAGGTCTGAGGCTCCCCACTCCCGCGTGTCGCGCTGCAAGGATTGTTCTGGCTTGACGACGATGTGATCAATAAAGAACTTGCGGGCAAGAGTGATCCGAGCGCTGAACTCCCAAAATAAGTAGTTGTCGTCCCGAAAGATATCGTTGAGCTCGACTGGACTTGGGCTCATAACCCTCAGCGATTAAAGAGGAAATTGAGGCAGAACTGAGCAGAGGAGCACGAATGAGATCTCGAAGATTTAGTTTCCTACATATGCATGCGACTCTCAAGGAGGAGTCACCATCTAGACAAGCGGTGTTTACGGCTAAGGACCGAAAATCAAATACCAGAATTACAGTCAGTACACCCAGAATGCCGAAAACCACAGAGCCTTGATTACGGTGAGCCGTAATCAAGGCTGAGCGTCTCCGACGGGTGATGAATTGGCGCCAGCGTGGCATGGTTCACGCTTAGTAGCAACAAATAAAGCCATCAAGTCTGCGTGGATATACTGAAAATCACCGCTTAAGCGACCGCATCAAAAAAATTAAACCTTCAGACCCGCGTGAACAGAAGATTAGCTAGCACGTGTTTCGAAAAGAAGTGAACTCGAAAATCAACAATTGCCGAAATGAAACATCACGAAAACGATAAACTCAAGAAGACTTTACTTTCGTCGTCCACGTAAGGAGGAAGAATGAAAATCAGTCGTCGCTGGTGAAAAAGCATTTGCGTGGTAGGTCACAAAAGCAAGCTTCATCGATAATAAAACTTCACAACAGCGTTAATTGAATCGACATAGTTTTGCATTCCAAATTAGAGATTGCAAAGACGAATTCAAATAAAAAAATAGGCCAAAACCCCTGTCACTTACTGTGGTAAACTTAAACAGAAGTTAATTTGCAGCGAAAACGATAAAGAGATTTTTACTAAAGCGCTATATCTCACGTGTATAAATAAAGCTTGAGCTGATACCAATAGAAATTTTAAAGTAGATCTGTGTGTCAGAACCTTTAAATTTGCTGTAATGTAGCCGATCGTTGTTAAACACGATTAAAAATACCTCTACGTTGCTGAAAAAACTGCCTTGTCACGGCTGATCCATAATGCCTGGATATTGCACCACCGGAAAATGGTAATTAGCCACTATGTCGATAGTTAAGTTAACACCAAAATTGTGTTGGTGACGGATGGAAAATTTGGTCGACAAGGAATAAGGTGCGTTCCCTTTATGAAGTACTGACGTGAATCCACCAGATCGACGGGAGGAAGATACGCCTTATGTGTATGACTGTTCTACAATCCCTGATGTTTCTGGCGAAAACAACCAGGTAAATATACAGAGTATGCCAGCAAAATTTGTACCTAATCCTCAAGCCATTACGTTGTGGCCGAAAAAGAAGTATAAGAATAGTACAGGAATATCGCTTTTGTGTTTTTATTGCATTGATCAGTTATTAGATAGCGAAGAAATTTCACCAAGCCACAATGACTGCAACGGTAGTCGGAGACGAACTAATATTAGAATCAGGGTGAATAAATTAGTGGCGTATTAAATAATGTCCGCCCGTCAAATGCCATATATGGAGTGCGAAAACATTCCTTCTGTTGGATAGCGAACGTGCCGTATTGTAGTGGTACCGAAATTCGTAGGGATTGATATTAGAGAAATCTGCTCATGCTTCACGCAGCGTTGTTAGATCAGGAACAGAACCAGAGCACACAATAAGTAAAAATTCAAAATGAACCATGATTATGAAAATATCGACATGCTTTCAGACAGAGAACGACCAATGTTTTTTCTCTTCAAAGTAAAGTGAATGTGCCACAGCGAGCAGGTCAGATGGGTCAACACCATGTCTGCTCCAAGAATTAGTTTAAATCTTATCAAGGGCTCCATAGTGAAAGGGCTCTGCAATAGAGAAGGACGTTTTTTAGCAAGCAAGATTAGTGCAGGACTGTAGGCGCACATAAAGAAAGCTCAAATTTCATCCTGAGCACGAACCGTGGAATCAACGGGAGCTTGAGTTGGGGAAAAAAGTTAGTAGAAAACCTTATGCAGCGGGGCTGCCATAGCTTTGCGCTTAGAGGAAGCGTAATTTAGGCCACCGACCTTACGTTCTTCACAAGAACCAGTACGAGTGTAGCGGATCGCAATCCGCTACCTCCAAGAGTAGTTAGAACCTTAACCCAAGACTAATAAACTCTTCCGTTTAAAATGTAAAACTGTCCGAGTGACCACGATAACTGAAACGGATAATGTCACCACCAAGTTCCTTGCTAACTATTAACATATTAAAATATATTCGAAGCTTGCTAGGCAAAAATTACTCGTGGAAGATCATCTTCTATGAAAGATGAAATATACTTTGGGATTATGGCGGTTTTGATCTAGGTTTTGCAAACGTGCAAAACTGTATGTAACATCATGTCACTGTAAAAGTTTTAATGGAATAGAGAGCTTTGCCTCAAAAATGTTTACGATGAAGATTTCCATGTCCAGATGAAAAATATGATACGCTGTTGTCTTTCTTGGCCACTTACTTTGTGGTACAGCTGTCAAGCGAAACTTACGGTTGAATCACGCAAAGATTGGTCTGACAAGTGCGCATGCAAACAGACTTTACCAAGCAACACAGATATGATTCGGGTGGAATTTTCAAGATTTGAAGTCATTTTTTTCTGAATAAGGTTTTGATGTCTCCAGAAGACTGCCTGGAGCATCGATGTTGCCTACTTTCATGCTCATCGATTCAACTCGCGTAACCATGGCCAAATGTGTGAAGCAACGTGATTTAGTATGTTTTAGTGGCTTTTGAAAGGAGCTGAAACCGAAATTTGCGCAAATTGTACCGATGGATTTGGCACACTTGTGATGCTGATTAAACAGCTTTACCTATAATTTACCACCATGTTTTTCTGCAAATTATGCTACAGAGTATGAGGTTAACATCGTGATGTAGACCCACAAGGGTGGGCGCGAAAAGAATATTGCTAATGTAGGTTCTAACAGACAAGGTTCCAGACCTTAGCAGTATTGCTCAGAGTGTACTGTATATAAATAGTCCACAAACAAAATGATGTGCGAGCGATAGAATGCCGTGATAACTTATATAATTGGACTTTTTTCAGCTTACGAATGAAAATTGTGCAAAACTATCAGCACATGGCCGATGGCTCATGTAGTCGCAATCGACGGATTGAAATTCTACAAATAGAGTACACCATCTTATAGACGTTGGGTGTAATAGCTATTGTTTAGATTTCATGCTTCGGTCTGCTTCAGCTGCAAATGAATAAGCCCCGACAATAAATTTTCAGTCATCGGTCAAAATCTATTTAAATGTTCAGAGCAGATACGTATTTTGAAGTGCAGAAGACCACGAACTTGTCAAGTTTGCAAAGTTGAAAACAAAAATAAGATCGCAAAGTACCTGAAGAAGGCCAAGAGCTGTAATCTTCTTGCAAATACAAAGAAACTAATTATCTGAAAGATAAAGCATCGTTGCTTTGCGGTGGGACAACTTCGAACGATCTTTTGTGACAGAGTAAATTTCACCATGAATGGGACAATCTGAGCATTAAGCCTTCGGCATAATGGCGGCGAAGGGTAAGGAAGAGTCTCAATGTCAAAAAACCTTCTGAATAAAGGCGTCAGCAATGAGCAATCAAAATGAGTTGAGACGACGCATGATAATGAGTGTTTAGCCTTTTGACGTTATTAGTATTTATTTGTCAACGAGGTCAAGCGTTTCAGTCCAGAACAACTTATGTCAACTGCTTATCGACTCGCTATGCCAGAACCAGAAATTATTGAGCTGTCGTAATAGATCATTATAGTGAGAAAACAATGAGTAAGCGGAGAGGAGTGCTAAAAAGACAACTTCAAAGAAATGACCAGGCATAATTTTTATGAAGTACGTAGTTTACCGTGGATTTGGCTGATAGTATATAATTTTTTCTCATCCTGTGGTGGACCATACTCAATCATTACAGGAAGGTGCATCTCTGCGGCGCACGTCACCTTCGACGTGCATTTTGAGGACAAATAACTGCGGATAAGAGTACAACAGACCCACATGTAAGTCTGACGCCATTTCACATATATCCTCTGTATCAAATTGTTTAAATAATGGTTCCGGGGTGGGAATCTTAACTGGTGATGAGACCAAAGTGTCTGTACCATCTAAAGTGATGCGCAAGCTATTTATTCTGCGAAAAAGATTTATTATGATTTAAAATTCAAAGTTCTCCTGGGTTCAACTTCATTGTACCTAAGATTTGTTATGTCAGGCTCAAGGTTTGACGTCTACATGTATACTTTTTAGATATAACTCTAGGTACTCTAGTAATTTTATTCCGTTGCGATTTAATATATTTCTATCAAGTCTAACCTCTCAAGTGCAACAGTGCATGAGTTCTAGGATAGTCTCTTACATAACTATACTAATGAAACCTATATAACTCCTGCGCAGAACTAACAGCTCACATGTTTCATGAGCCTTTTCTTATCCTGCTTTGTTCTTTAGTGAGGCTTTGCAGTGCTTGAATAGGTTGCCTTGAAAAATGAACTCCACGGAACGTCTCACATATTGCTCAAATAAAGCAGTATTAATTAATCATTAATTAATCGGGTGTATTAGGCTGCTTGTCTCTTCGTTCAAATTTGTTTAAGGAAATTCAGAGCTTTATGGTTGATACTCATGATGTCTTTACCTTACTGCTCTTCTGCTATCTTGTTACTTACAAAATTTGTGCGTATGGCTCATAATGATCGCTGTTTGTCAACCGTATCTACCGAATATATGCAAAAAGCTCTCTCCCTTATGCGCACTTCTAATGGAAGATAAACAAGCACCATTCGCGATCTGTTATCTTTTCATGCGTAGGGCTAAGAAACGCAACAAGAAAGGCGCCGCCCGTGCGACCAAAGTTGTAGTCAATGGGTAGTCAAAAGGACGCATCTCCATCGCCTTCTCCGTAGGCGGCCATCGTGTGACGATCTGATTTTAGAGGATTGAACGGCAAAAATATTGTAACCCCAACTAGCGTGAGCTCACACAACGTGCCCATTGGGTGTATATACCCTGTTAAACCCTGCCCTGTTCGAATGATGGCCAAACTTATTCTTCAAATCTTGCACAAAATAGCATCCGTTGTGCTTGGGGTTTTAACTTCTGACACCCAAGAGTACATAGTCCAAAGAGCAACTTTGCGTCGGAAGTCATGCTCCTTGAGGAACGTATAATGGATGAGCAAGCCACGAAAGTCGTGCCGACGCCCCCGAAACTATAATAGGAAGAAAGCCTAAAGTATCTCACCCATGATAGCGGTTGCAGTGACTCTTTTAGCCCTGATCCGGCACCACTTCCTTTACCCATAGACATATGGCGAAGCCGTTCATCAAGGAGATGATTACTCTGTGCTCCACATCCCAAACAGTTAAGTTACGAACTTGGTCATCTTCTACAGCGGAGAGCGTTGCGACATCCCGCTTCAGAGCCCACAAAGTCCAGAGCGACATTAATGAGCTGGTTTCTATCGGTAGCCTACCTTATCCGTCTGCAAGCACAAGAAATAGACCTACAATAATCGCATACGTCAAAATTATGACACTAGCGATTTTAAGCTGCTCACCGCGCTGCAATAGAGACCTCATACAAGTATGCGTGCGGGTCGTTTGCTCACATCAAGCGTGGTAGAAGTGTCAGAAGGTCGCTGTCGGAAATCCATGATTCACGACACTGAAGGAGTACCGCTTGCTTTGTAAACCGCAGCGGTTGAAAACACCTGAAACGTATATTGATTATAGAATGCTTGCAAGAATGCTTGCAAGAATGCTTGCAAGAATGCTGTTAAGTATAGCACTCGATCCAGGCATCTGCATTGGATCAGATGTCTGACATGAAAGTCGTCTAATGCTTGCCTTTGCGGAGTACAAAGTATGGGGTCTTTCTCAAGGCGGCCGCTTACCATATCCGTTGCAAGCTGTAAAGAACCCTGCTTGAGTTGGAAAAACTCGTCATTACCTCGGAAATTCTGAAAACTTCATCGCCAAGCGAATGACTAGCTTTGATGTCTTCATTCTAGATCTATTTGCTAAACGAATGATAATTTCTTCTTTCACATAGGACAGGCTGACACCACAAAAAGTCATAATTTGCGCTCGTACAAAGTTGTTCGACGCACCACTGTCAATCAAAGTCCGTAGTTCGTTTCTCAAAACCATCTACAAAAAACTCCTTGGACAATCAAAGTCGCACTTAATCTAACACTTCCAACAAACTGCAAATGCATCGTGCACGTTCGGGCCATAATTATGTGTATCCGCAGCATCCACAGTACTCTACTTGGGTCCAAAAGAAAGTCTCGCCTTTACTGGTTGATCCTGTTTTTTACCCTTGGGAGCGTTCGAATCGACGGCCTTTATAGAATTCTCAGTTATCCGAACGAGCACCAAGTGTCTGTTGCCGACCCGGCAACAGTTTCGAGGACGCTCAATCCCAGGCCTAAAAATGTACGAGATGTTCATTCGCTCTGGACCATCGCATGTATCGGTCGACTGGGGCGCTTGCGTTGGTACGAAGCCATTGAACTTGGCATACTTGATGCTGCACTCTTCTTGCATCGCACGGTTGATGGCATCATTCAGCGTCTTGGGTCCTCACGGAGCGATTGATTCCGGAACGGACCATCATTCAAGCCTGCCATGAACGTTACAACTTGCGCTGAAACCTCAATTGGCTCGCCGACATTGCTCGATACCAAGAAGCGATCACACTGTGCATACGAGTGTAGGTCGTAACGACCTTGACAAAAATACAAGAACTTGGAACGGGCATAGGCACGAGCACGAGAACGGAACTAACTTTGTGGTAGATCAAACGCCTTCTTTTGCTCGATCTTATAGTGTTCGTAGCTCGGAAAGCAATTAAGATTGTTTTAACGCTTTCCATACACCCAACTCTTCGCACAACCCGCAAGGTTCAACATCGCGAACAACACTTGCTGCACGGGGTCTCGCAGCTGTCTTGCAGCGATTGCTGCATCCAACTCGCCAAACCATCGTTAGGGAGGCTCGTTCTCTCCACCCAATGCAAAGAAAAGTTCTGCTTTAGATGCATCATTTTGTAGGACGAATAAGGTGTTGCTACCTGCTTCCGACATTCCATAATTTCATGATGCATGAAATTGACAGCAGCGTTCTTCTGATCATCCGGAGAAGATGGCTGCAGCAAACAGACTGCATCCCGGAGACGTCTCGCATCTGCTCGAGTGCCATCCGCTCATATAAAGATATATAAGGGAAAATCTCATCCAACAACACCTCAGTTTGCGGTTCTGATGGATCGAGTAGTACCCCAACTCCTTCCATGTCGCTCGGACAAGGACAAGAGTAGGGCTTGGACTGGAATACGTGGCGTGCTCAACACTTGCATCGTTGAACCAAATGCATGTGTCGTTGAGAAGACCGCTCGAAGTGTTTCCATGGATAAGAGGGCGCTATTCACAAATAGTCCCTCAAACACATCACACACGCTTGTGCGACGAGAAAGCGATTTCGACGTGGAGGGAGAAGGTCAGTCTCGACCTGGAAGGAAAACGAATTTCTAAATACTTAAAGGTAAATACACAATTGAATTAAATATGAGTTATGGTTTCTAACGGCTCCTAAAGGTTTTACTTCATAAAAGCTTGGGTCCCAGATAAATTAATCAAGGGTGTACTGACGTTGAACCTCAAATTCAAGTGATTCAAGATCTTGGGTTACGGTGCTTGAACTTCAAACGATTGAACTTTAACTTTCGTGGAAAGTATCCAGTAAAAGGGAGAGGAGAGAAACTGGCTTACACGAACCACTTCTAAAGAAAGAGACACGTCGGCTTGTATCCCCAAGCAGGAACCAGCACTCTGTACCGCACAGATTGTTGTGACTTCGTTTAAAAAACCACTTATGTATTTGACATTACCATACTGTAATCTTCTTTTACAAAAATTTTTTACAATGCAAATAAATGTACCTTCATGTAATGGCTTAGCGTAGCCCATTATAATTAGCACTTTCTTCTGTGCGTTTGACCCGGTGAATGTGGAGAATTTACTGCATATGAGAGACAGTAAAATCCCTTTCGCTACAATGAGTACTAGATGCGATGGGAGTGGCCAGATGTGTCGCAGGGACTGTCAAGCGCACTGGCGCATAAGATTGTCTGGTGACGTAGCTACTCGGGCCATATCGCGTCTATGCACAAACCTACTTCGATGATGAAGTGCTTCCGTAGTCGTACACTGCACTGGAAGTCAGCAATTGACTCGCCCCGAACGCTTGCAAGAATTGCTCATATCAATACGCGCTAACGAGAACTTCGCCCTTTTGTATATGTGTGTCTTTGGTGCCGACGATATCCCCCTGTCTGGGTCGCTGATTTATGGACAGCATGGCTTGCAGGCAAATTTTGCGAAGTCAAAGCTCGCTGAAAATTTGCCAGTGACTCTGCCATTGAGGCTATTGAGTATGTGGTTTGGCCTAGCCACTTGCATAAACAAACATATCACGAATACACTGATGTGGCACGGTCCATGTCCAATATATTATGTTACACGGATGCATTAAGCAACCAATAAAAACAGCTTACCATAATTGTTAGATTTTGTAATGAGGCAGAGATTACGCTGAGTCCATTCTGCTTTCTCTACCTTATGTCATGCTCTCATTTCTCATTTATGGCTGTAAGTCGAGCACTATTCCGCCATCTTTTCACGTTGCATGAGTACACATCATTCTTAGAAATAATGTCGCGTTCGAAGCAAATTGTAGCCTATTGACTTCAATATAAAGAATGTGACTCGCTGTTCCTATACAGCGAGCAACATGAAATATTGGGTATTATTTGAGCGCAAATAAATTTTAACCTAAATTTACAAATTATAATTTAATGACCAGCTCCTAAAGACTTTATTACAAAAGAATGCCAGCGTCGTGAATGACAACCTTCTTGCTAAACCTAAAATAAACTTTATCCTTAGCGTTCTGTAGTGAACTTTCATTGAAAACCACAATTAACGTATTGCGTCTTCGACAGTGATCTCATGGTTAGACACGTGAAACCGTAACCTTTATATAATAACATAATGGCTATATTCCAGATCCTCATATCCTCATAATGATTGGTTATGCGCGCGTGGCTCTGCTTTGATTGGCTTATTATATTATGTGTCGCAGCGCGCCCCGCACTCGCTCACTTATGAAAGTGCAATTAAGAAGATGGAAGGAAACGTTGAGGACACTTTAAAGAAGGCGGCGGCGGCGTCCGCTGGTGCCCTGCTAACGTCACTTTTTGTAACACCGCTTGATGTGGCGAAAGTGCGCATTCAATCACAGCTTCAGTTACCGCTTTCCAAACCATTGAGCGAGTTGCGGATCGTACACTCGGGCATTAGCACGTTCGTGGCCACTGCCGTTGAGCAATGTCGTTGTCGAAATCGATGCGCGTGCAATCGATCGATCACGCGTCCTGTTGAGAAGCTTCAGACTTCACGACGTGGGTGCAACGCACTTTCATCCATGCGTTCGTCCTGTTCGCGGGCTGTAACTTTTCCACAGTTTCAAGGCACGTCACATGCATTGCGTCACGTGTTTCAGACAGAAGGGCTTCGAGGACTTTATACGGGTTTGTCTCCTGCAATGGTAGTTGCTGTACCATCCACGGTGTTATACTATATATCGTATGACGTGCTACTTCATGAAGGGCGTCAACGATTTCCCAAATTGGAAGGTTTCGTGCCTTTGATGGCTGGAACGGCGGCAAGGGTTGTCGCGGCGTCTATTACATCACCTATGGAACTGATTCGCACGAGGATGCAAAGTGCAAGCGCTGGATGTACTATTTCGGCTGCATTAAAACAAGCGGTGCGATCTGGAGGCTACATGTCGTTGCTGAATGGACTCGGAGCCACATTGGCAAGGGATGTACCATTTTCTGCCATCTACTGGACTTCTTACGAGAATCTCCAGCGAAAGTTAAGTACGGTGGACAACGTGTTGTCGAGATCGCAGAAGGCTTTTGTATGTGGAGCTGTGTCAGGGAGTCTTGCTGCAACCGTCACGACCCCATTTGATGTGGTGAAGACATTGCAGCAGGTGTCAATGACAACTAAAGGGCCCAAGCAATCCGGGATCATGATTCTTAAGAAGGTGATAGATGGAAAGGGAGTGAGCGCAGCGTTCACAGGATTGAGTGCACGTCTGGCACGCGTAGCTCCATCTTGCGCTATCATGATCTCGTGCTACGAATTCGGCAAGGAAAAACTTAATATTGATTGAGCGAAGAAGCGACAGTTGAAGAGAGGAAGACTGCTACTAGGCTGGGTATAGTAGGGAGGGACTTCGCATTATTGCATTCTCGTTATTGAAAATGTAGAACTGATATTTAAAAGCATATACGATGTATTCACCGAAAGGTGTCTGGATTTAGCACTTGTGCTCCTAGGTTCATGACTTACTGGTATTATTGTGATCTTGGCGGTCGATAGAAGTTTTACATTATTATTTGAGCAAACTGAGACTTTGATTGTCGTTTGACCGAGTTTAATGTGTTCGAGCATAGACTCTACAACTTACAACTCGTCATCTCGCACTTTGACCTGTAGACGCCTGGTTTGCACAGTCTGGTGCATTGCGTGAGCCAGAGACTGCAGAAAACGCAATGGCATACCGCGTGCGATGAAGCCTCGATACAGAATCTGATCGTCATCGACCAAGCCTTGCTGTCTGCGCAGCTCCGTGATTGCGTCAGTCAAAATCTTCTCGTCTTCCACATCAATTTCCTCATCCAAAGGGTTCAGCGTCTTTAGTAGAAATCTACGCGCCATACTTATCAGTTTTTAATTCTAGCCGATTCATTAAACGCCAACATACTGATACAAATCTTCTACGTGAATGTAATTGTCACGATACCGTGACATGTCTGCAACCTGGTCGTAGGACCAATCAATGATTTTTTCAAGCACATCAGCCTTTGCATATTCTGCGTTGAAAGCAAACAGCTCGACATCCGTCAGTCCTGGAATGACCGGAAGTGCTTCCTCGTTCTCTTCATCGCTATCGGCTGGCTGGCTAAGCTGCTCGCTCTACATATCGTTAGTATTGCTCACATGAACTAGTGTACAAATTCACCACCAACCAATCTTCGTTGCTTCGCGTGTCTCGCATCGTTATCGTCATTTTCGTCTTCAAAAAGCTTTGCAAGTTATATTTGCAGTGTTTGAGCACTTAGTAAAAAAGCAGGAGGCCAGCAAAGCTATCCATACATTTTGATCTCTATCCAGTTGGTTAGGCTCGACATGAGAATTCTATACAGTGATCGCTTTAGTCGGGAAGAGCGTGTTTCATATGTATGACGCAAACTTGCACCTCAAAATCTGTCAGACTTACTTCGGCTTTTAAACTTGAGAAGTCTTTATCAATACCATTCCCCGCAAGTTCTTCAGACTTTGACAGCTATGAGAGAAGTGAATCCAGCGAAAACCATCACGTTAGCATTTTTGAATATCACGCGAATTGTCTAGCTTACAGATAAATCCTGCCGGAAGATTAATAGGAGGAAAAATGCTAAGCTCGAACGTCGCATTCTTGCTTTGAAAAATGTCATCGATGGATGAAGGGACGCACATCGTTTGGTGTTTGATTTGGATTTTAGCAGTGTTTTTAATAAGAGAAAAAATGTACCCTGTAAATTTCTATAATTTAGAAGAAAGTCGAAATAGGTGTACTAAAGGTGACGAGCATAATGTACTGAGTCCTCTACTTGTATTCAAGTACATTGGCATTGTAGCAACCTAGACAAATGACACAATCTAAATCCGTACTTGGAGCCTTTGCTATATAGCCCATTCGGATAATCCTAATAATTAAATGATTATGCAAAAATTTGGTCAACACGATCAAATTATAAGTGAATAGTGCCTTAAGATAGCCTGAAATTCTTGGACCGCGACAGAGATACGAGGAACTTCCATCATGCCTTCGAGCTTAAACAGATAATGCACTTACCGACCACAAGGCAAGCGGCGCTTAGGTTAATTTATCGAATTGAATGATGCTTGTTCTTATTAGACAAATGTACGTGTTTTACTATCTTCCATTATAAAATCGAATTTATTGCATGTGAGGCGTGTTCGTATAATGTGGCTGTACATGATAATGCGGTACAAACATATTGAGTGAAAAAGATGCATACATATTGACGATTTCTTAAAGAAAAGTATATCAAGTTTGGCGTTTTGCATGTATCAGGTTTGAGCTATTGTAAGTGCTTAGACCCAGGTCGGAAGAATATTTTAGTATCGGATATATTGGGAAACCATACTTGACAGACATCATTTGGGTCGTAAACACAAGTTGAGGCACTGTATATTGGCACGATCGTACGGCTATGAACTCGAGGATTCACGCGTACGATACCTCAATTCGACTCTGGCCACACATGGATATGCACGTAATCTTAGACGCTGCGCTCCTCGACAAGACACCAGCAAATAATATCGATTTGAATTGACGAAAGTACAAAATCTACAAAACAGTTTGTCTAAATACCACAACCCCTCATGTGTAATCTTTAATTGTCAAAATTTATTGAAGTGCGTCTACCATTCCACCCATCGGATTGGCTCTTTTCGAAACGAATCTTTTTAACAATGTAGGGTGGTCGCCACAGGATCGCTCACTTCTCGATTTCCTCGCTCCACTCGACATTTGGACTCAGTTTTGATCATGTCAGAGCATAGTCCACTTCTTGCGAATGGTGACGAGCACTCGTACAGTGGCTTAAGCAACGATGACCGCTTTTATATGGGCGTAGACAAGCGTTCGCTGCTGGATACTGGTGAGGCGGGTCTTAGTACTGTCGAAGCCACGCGCCGTCTTAAAATTTTTGGGCCAAATGAACTTGAAAGCAAGGAAAAGAGTCCATGGCTCAAGCTTGCAGAACAATTTTGGGGTCCTATGCCCATTATGATCTGGCTTGCTATTCTAGTCGAGGCGATTACCAAAGACATACCCGATTTCTTTGTTCTGCTCTTCCTTCAGCTACTTAATGGTACTGTTGGCTGGTACGAGGAACTAAAGGCTGGCAATGCTGTCGCTGCACTCAAAGCAAGTCTCAAACCCGAGGCGCAAGTCATTCGTGATGGTGTGCACCAGACAATCAATGCAGCGCTGCTTGTACCCGGCGACCGCATCACACTATCAGCCGGTTCAGCCGTGCCAGCCGATTGCGATTTGTGCGAAGGAAATCCTGTACAAATTGACCAAGCGGCATTGACTGGTGAATCGTTTCCTGTGACTATGACAACTGGTGACAATGCCAAGATGGGGTCCACCGTCGTACGTGGTGAAATTGAAGCGGTTGTGTCGGCTACCGGTGGTCAGACATTCTTTGGTAAGACTGCGAGTCTCATTTCGTCTGTGGACGAAGTAAGTCACTTTCAAAAGATTTTGATTCGCATCACAATGTTTCTCATGGCTATTTCATTTGTCCTCGTTGGCTTTTGCCTCGGGTACCTCATTTACAATGGCGAAGATTTTCTTGAAGCAATCGCTTTTTGTGTTGTTTTACTTGTAGCATCGATTCCTATTGCCATGCAAGTTGTATGCACGTCGACTATGGCTTTAGGATCTCGGAAATTGGCAGAAGAAAAGGTCATTGTGACCCAACTCCAATCGATTGAGACTCTTTCTGGGATGAATATGTTGTGTTCCGACAAAACGGGTACTCTGACACGTAATAAGATGGAATTGCAAGATGATTTACCAATTTTCCACCCAACTGCTACACGTGAAGAGGTGCTCATTACTGCAGCGCTTGCTGCCAAGTGGAAAGAACCTCCCAAGGATGCACTGGATACTCTGGTTTTGAATGCCATCGACTTGCGTCCACTTGACCAGTACACAATGATGGACCACATGCCATTCGACCCATCCGTGAAGCGTACTGAATCCATGATTCGTGGTCCAGACGGTAAAGTTTTCAAGGTCACAAAAGGTGCACCACAGATTATTTTAGCTCTGGCTCACAACGTGACTGAGATCCAAGAAGAGGTGGAAGTGAAAGTATTGGACTTGGCCAAGCGTGGTATTCGTTCACTTGCGGTAGCTCGCACGTCGGAAGAAGAGGCAAATGGAGGATGGGTATTCCTTGGAATCATGACGTTCCTAGACCCTCCTCGTCACGATACAAAGCGGACGATTGAACTGGCTCATGAAAATGGCATTGGTGTCAAGATGATCACTGGTGACCAGGCTGCTATTGCTGTCGAAACTTGTCGTATGCTCGGAATGGGAACGACAATCTTAGGAACCGATGTTTTGCCCACAGCTAACGTCCAGGACGGACTATCGACAACGTTAGGATCCGACTACGGTGCAATCGTAGAAAGTGCCGATGGATTTGCCCAAGTGTTTCCAGAACATAAGTTTTTAATCGTGGAAGTGTTGCGCCAGCGTGGATGGGTCTGTGGTATGACGGGAGATGGTGTGAATGACGCTCCTGCTCTCAAGAAGGCGGATGTTGGAATTGCAGTCGAAGGCTCGACGGATGCTGCACGAGCGGCCGCTGATATTGTACTTACACAACCAGGTCTTTCGGTTATTATTAATGCCATCACTCTGTCACGAAAAATTTTCCAGCGTATGCGCAATTACGTGACGTACCGTATTGCGTGCACAATCCAGCTACTCATGTTCTTTTTCATATCCGTGCTTCTATTCCATCCAGACAGTTGCCGTTTCCAGCACTTTGTTCCTCGCGTTGGCGAGTGCCCGTATGTTCAAAATGAAAGCACGGAGTCTGTGGATCCGTACTTCAAACTGCCAGTCATTGCGCTTGTACTCATTACAATCCTGAACGACGGTACGATCATCTCTATTGCCTACGATAATGTCGTGCCTTCCAAGCGCCCAGAGACGTGGAACTTGCCGCGTATCTATTGGGTATCAACAACGCTTGGTCTCATTGCCGTTGCAAGCTCACTGCTGCTACTCTTTTGGGGTCTTGACTCGTGGAACAAGAATGGAATCCTCGCTTATTTTGGAGTTGGAGACCTTCCGTATGACCAAGTGATGATGATGATGTATCTCAAGATCTCTTTGTCCGACTTTATGACGGTCTTTACAGCTCGTACCGCAGGTCTCTTCTTCACGCGTGCTCCTGGACGTCTTTTGAGTGTTGCAGCATGCTTTGCTACCGTTGTGTCGACGCTTCTAGCTGTATTCTGGCCGTTTACGGAAATGCAAGCCATTTCATTTAAGCTGGCAGGTTTTGTCTGGGTCTATTGTCTCTGCTGGTTCTTTATTCAAGATCTCGGCAAGGTACTCTTGATCTTTTTACTTGAGCATGCGGACCACATGAACGTGTTTGAGCAAAAAGTCAGCAGCAAGAAGTATGTTAAGCACGAAGCACAGCGCCAGAATCGTATTCGTATGGGTTCAACCCTGTTGAACAATGATTCGTTCATGCGTGGGTCGTTTGTGGCTGGTCGTCCTGTTGGAACTTCGTTTGTGGAACGTAGCATGACCCTCGAACAGGCGATGGACCGCCTTGTGCGTCTTGAGGCTGAAGTGAGGGTCATTCGGGCTGTGCTGCAGAATGCATCGGGTACTGCTAGAGTTTAAAGTGCTGAGTCGTGATCTACTGCTAATATTCATTTACGCAGTTGCAGATAAAAGAAATAAATTTTGCGTTGTTTCAAAATAGTACTTGTTCAATTCTAAGCACCAATCTGGTATCGTCAATTCATTGGTCGAGGGATATTTACAAGTACTGAGACTTTTCGACTGTTTGTACATTCCAACATGTCGACACTTTTTAATCGGACAAGCCATTCTTCAAAGAGCAACATCTGGTGAACATACGTGAAAGCTGAAGATTAACGCTCTCATCCTTTATGGAGTCACTTAATGAAGATGAATGTCAAATGTTACTCGCGCGCTCGCCTCGTCGCAACACGCCCACACACGCGCCGTCCCATATGGTATTTGAGCCTCCACCATTACGACGCGACGCAAGTGGGACATCACTCCACTTCACCACTCAGCGTACCGTTCAATACTCGACTAACGAGACACTCCCAATGACCAACGCTGTGTCACCACACTGTCATTCGCCTTACGGGTCAACACAAATAGACATGGATACCTGTCGTCCTACTCGTGGTTTACTTCACGACTCGTGGAATTCTAGTATCACTGGAGCAATACATGCAGTCCCCCCTATAGTCATAGCTGTGCTGGTTAATTTAATGATTTGTGTCCCGTTTGGATTGTCGTTTTTTCCATTGGAATGGCAGGATATTCCCGTACCCCATGCTTTTGGCATCCAAATGTTTTTATTATCCTCCACAATCTGTCAATTTACATTTGTGTGGCTAAGTAACTTTGACGGCGCTATTTGTCAAATGATGGTGGAAAATGTTCCGTTCATGCATACAATTTCAATCTCAATTATTCAAGAATTGGGACCTACGAATCCTAGTGTGTTGCCAACTATACTCGTCACATATGCCTTTTCGTCAATTGTCTGTGGAGCACTTTTTTACATCTTAGGACATTGGAAACTTGGGAATATTGTTTATTTATTTCCAAAGCATATTATTGTCGGAGCTGTTGGTGGGATTGGGGCTTTTGTTATGCAAAGTGGCATTGAAAACTCGACGGGACGAGAATTTCATTGGACTTGGAATGGGCTCCAAGGTCTGTGGAAGGACGAAATTCTTTGGCTTTGGGTAACGTCTGCAATTCTCGCTCTTGTGTTGTGGATATTGACACGCTATATCAAATCGCCATTGTTCCCTCCACTCTTTTTTGTGTCAATTGCACCCTGTTTCTACATTGTGTTGTTATGTCTTGGCATTTCCACCGACACAGCTCGAGCCCATGGCTGGTTTTTTAGTCGTGCGCCCCATGTTGCATTTTATTCCTTATGGGAACATTATGACTTTTCACTTGTTGAGTGGCACGTAGTACCGAAACAATTTGGTACTATCGTCGGTCTTACCTTCTTCTCTTTAATGCATGTACCGATAAACATTCCGTCATTAAGTCTTACAATTGATAAAGAAGTGGATATAAATGATGAATTGGTTGCCCATGGAGTGTCCAATACACTTTGTGGATTGAGTGGTACAGTCCAGAATTATCTATGCTACTCGACTTCAGCTTTATATTACAAATGTGGCGGTAGTGGCCGACGTAGTGGCTTTACTATTGGTCTCATTATGCTCTTCTTTTTCTTTGTCGGACCTAATGTTGTGTCGTATCTTCCACGGTGTATGGCTGGTTGTGTAATGATGCATCTTGGCTCAGACCTACTTCGAGAAGCATTAATTGATACATACGATCAATTAGATGCTCTTGAACTTGGTACAGTCTGGGCAATTGCTGGTACTATGACATTTTGGGGTATGAATCAAGGTCTAGCTATTGGTGCATTACTTGCGTGTATGACATTTGTCATGCAAAGTGCACGTACCCCAACAAATGTACCAATTCGTGGAAGTATGAGTGCAGCAACACTTCGAAGTCATGCTTGGCGAATGACAAATGAGTTGAATATATTGGATCGTGAGTGTCGAAATATTCATGTTATTCAACTTCAAGGTCATCTTTTCTTTGGTAATATTAATCAAGTGAGTGACTATGTCCACGACTTGTTTCAAGACGGTCCAAGTTTGACGGACAGTGCAGTACAGTCACCTCTTCAAAGTGTATTAAGCGACGATGTTCGACCACGTCCTGAATTAAAATATCTTGTACTTGATTTTACACTAGTCGTTGGATTAGATTCGTCAGCTGCTGACCGATTGACGAAGATTGAATTTGTATGTGATCTCCATCATTGCAAGGTTGTCTTTGCTGCCGTTCCAACTGCTTATGTTAAATTTACAGAACATCTTCGTTCCGTCTTTGAGAATACTACCATGCTCTATATTGCACCTGATCTCGATCGAGCGCTTGAATGGTGTGAAAATGATATTTTAGGCAAACGTACTCAAGATGAAGTTCCATCTCAACCTTGTACAGTGGATGATAAAGAATGTACCCACTTGCGAATTCTCCGACGATTTATGCCGGATCAACCACTTTCTGTACAACAAAAGTTGCTCTCTTATTTTAGTATCTCAACAATCAAGAAAGAAGAAGTTTTGTGGCGACAAGGAGATCCATCGGATCGTGCGTTGCTACTAGTAAATGGAGCTTTGACTGCAGTCATCGAAGAAGAAGCTGGTACAACGGAAAACGTTTCAATTGGTTCTATTGTCGGTGACTTGTGTTTTCTCACCGGTGAGAAACGCAAAACGTCGTTAATTGCAACAGAAAAAAGTGTCGTCTACGTCTTGACGCGTCCCAACTTTAACAAGATGCTTGAGAAAGATTGTTACTTAGCATTTCTCTTTCAAGGGATTTCCTTACGCTATACGTCGTTTAGATTACAATATGTTGGGAATCGAATTTGGGAGACGAAATGTCTTCCTATTTGATTAAGTATTAAGTTAACAAGGTCTTTTTCTATGATTATTACATGTCCACCACTCAATTTTGTACGCACAGATGGAGCTCATCGAACTACTAGATGGAAGTCTCTCGGCTGCTTCCGATGTTCGTGCACAGTGTGAAGTTCGTCTCACGAATCTCCTTTCAACACGTGGTTTTGCCTTGCAATTAAGTGCATTTCTCTTTTCAAAAGAAGCGTCAGATGCACAGCGTCAATTATCTGCTTTGTTACTTAAGAAAGTTGTGACGTCATACTGGGTACGAAATGAAGATGTTACGTACGTTGTAGACGAGATGGAAAAGATGCAAATAAAACAAACATTAATTTCAGCACTTCATGAACGTCTTGAGCTCTTTACTACAAGTAAACTTCAGACAGCATTCTGTTTGATTTTAACTGCTATCTTTGAACGTGACTGGCCCGACCAATGGATTGATATCTTACCAACGATCTTGACCATGATCTCAAGTCAAGAAAAATTACGCATTGAATTTGCAGTACGTTTTCTCTCGCTTGCAGGTCATCACTTTGGAAGTGACAGCTGCTGTGATTTGGTCACATCAGTCTTTCCTCATCTTAGTCGAATCTTTGGTTTGACAATGGAGTTTTCAGCTAGCACACGGTCACAAATTGCTCGGATTGTACAGAATAGTCTACTGATGGTTGGAATGGAAGCTCAAGTAGGTAATACCATAGCGCTTCAATTATTACATGAAAACACAACGCAGTGGATTCGTCTGTTCCTTGAGCAATTGGCTATGCCGGTACAAGGTGTTAAAGATTATTCGATTAAGATTCAAATCTTAACAACGTTAGCAAGTTTTGCACGAGAATGGCCGAAAGAAATGACGAATGTATTACCAGAGATTTTTCCACGAGTGTATGGACTATTATTGCACGATATGAACGCGTACGAACAGCATGTGGTTCTGAGCTCGTGTTCTGAAGAAGAAGGATACGATAGTGATGGAGATGGTGCGTTAATTGGTCAAAGTGCTATGATTGTCGCAGCGTTTGAGTTTGTACGTGGTGCGATCCATGCACCGACTAAAAAGACTCGACAACTCATTGTGAATGGATTGACCGACTTTGTGTACGTTATGATTGGGTACATGCAAATTACCGTGTGTCAAATGGAAGAGTGGAGAGAAGAACCAAACAAGTATGTGGCAGATGAAGACGAAGAGAGTTCGACGTTTAGTGTACGGAACGCAGCTACAGATTTGTTGACGGAGCTTGAGACAGTGCTAGGACGTAAAGCCGTCGCAGCGGCACTGGATGCCGCTCAGCGTCGATTAAAGGCCGACAATGTTACTAATTGGCGGCTTCAAGAAGCTGCACTGGTGGTTGTCGGGTGCTTAGCAGCATCGACGCTTGACGCTTGGAACAAGAATGCGACTGAGATTACGCAACTTCTTGATCTTTCGGCGTTCTTACAGACGTTGTTTAAAGTGATGAATGCAGAGAGTCAAGAGATTTACTTACGGGCTCGAGCACTGTGGTGTGCAAGTCGTTTAGCTAAAGGAATGAACCAAGAGATGCTTGATGCTTTTCTTCAAGTAGCGATCTCTGGACTTGAGCAGGGACAAGTGCTGCCTGTTCGTATGTACGCGTGCCGTGCCATTGGATCGATACTTCACTATGTTACAGGCAACGCACGACTTCAGAATGCAAGTGTTGTGATCATCGATCGACTTGCTAGTCTCGCGGAGCAATCGACGCACGAGACGCTCCATATTGCGCTCGAAACGCTTGTTGTGGTCCTGCAAGAGTCGGAAGAGATTGCTCTTGAGTCAGCGCAACGTGTTGTCACTTGCTTCTTGTATCACTGGAGTCAAAATCTGAATGATCCATTAATCAGTGAATTAACCGACGGCGCATTTGGTGCGCTCCTTCAACTCGACAATGCATCTATCACGGCTTCAGTACATGCACAAGTTTTACCTGTCATTCGTTCAATGCTCGTCAAGAGTTGCTCTGATCTCGGAAGCACTGGCACTGGCATTTACACGGCCAGCAGTGCATTAACAATCCTCAAAACACTATTACGACACTCGTTTGCATCTAGTAACACAGTTTCAAGTGGCGGTGTCGACTCAGCGACCCAGCAATTGGGCGCACAAATCGTACAACAATCGTTTGAGCCGCTTGTGAATGTATTGGGCGTTATAGATGATGAAAAAGTGTTAAATTTCGGCTCGGAATGCCTTAAGTGGCTGGTTATGTTTGCCGTCGAGTCGTTAGCAGCGTATACGACAGCCTCTGGCACGAACGGTATCGACACAACGCTCGCTGTCTCGGCCAATTTGCTGTCTCCAGCTGTCTCGGATGCAAGTGCTGCTTGCGTTGGTGGACTGATCACACAAATCTTGTTAAAGCTAGGTCCGAGTCTACCAACGGCGACAGTACAGTCGATCCTAAGTGCTGTATGCGCTCGACTAGCTGCGACTTCATTGCCGTCTTTAGTACAGTCGCTGTGTATGGTTTTTGCTCGTCTAGTGCACTCTCACGGTCGTGATCTTCTAAACGTGCTGGAGCACTTACCGGCTCCAACGACACGTGACGGTCAAAATCAAGCTCTTAATATGCTGACGTTTGTATTTCAAACGTGGATTGAGAAGCAGCAAGATTTTTATGGTCTGTACTGCATTAAAGTGACTATCAGTGCTCTTATGAAGGTGGTAGAGTGGAATGATCCTCGCATCAATGCTATCACTGTCACTGGAAGCGTTGTAAACGATATGAATGCTGACGGAATAGGCATCCAGACACGATCCAAGGCACGATGCGCTCCTAGTAACAAGACACAACACACGACGGTGCACTTTGTGACAAAATTTGTCGTTCTTCTTGCAAAGACTCTTTCGAATTTAGCAGAAGAGGAGGAAGAATGGCAGTCATCGGATGATTCGGAAGGTGAAGAGGACGAGAAGGCAGAATATCAGGCTTCGTCTTCAATATTTGCTCCTGCTGGTGAGTCACGATGCAAAATTCTATTTTGTCATGAAACATGTGACTTGATTTGTTGGTTTGTCATGCAGAAAATTATGAACTTTTATCGGACGCTTTGGATGCTCACGACACAGTAGAAGGTCACGGCGACGAGCCTGAAGAAGAGTTTGAAGCGTATTTTGACCCATTAAATGACGTGAATCTAAAGGTGAAGTAGGAACTTGGTGTGCTTACTGAATGAGGCGTTTTCTAACTTGATATGCGCATATCTAGACTGTTATTCCTTACGCTTTACAGAAAGTTACTGCTGATGCGAATCTGATGCAGGCCATTCTACCTGAGCTTACAGCTGCAGATCAAGAGGCACTTGCTGTCTCGTCATCTACGTAGACTTCAGAATTTAAAGCTCTGATCAAATTTGTAGGTAGAAGATTTTGAATACTACTTGAATCTTTAATTATTGCGTTGCGACTTATGTAGAGGATTGCATCTCAATCGGATTCGGTGTAACCTTCGAGTTATAATCAATTTGGTTTGTAGCTCTATTCGGTCAGGATCCTGATAAATTTCTTCTAAAACGTATTGAAGTCCATGAAGCTTCATTAATGATATATTCAGGTCGAGAGTTGCTAGTGAATCAAGTGCCCAAAGTGCTTGTTGTCCAATTTCTGATGGAGTAAAAGTCACTTTGGCTAACGACGAAGAAGTAACATGTTGTACGGCTAATTGTTGTGTTTGTGGTGCACTCATTGATGTCGTGGAACTTAGTACATGGATCTTCTTCTCACGTTGCATTGCTCGTGATTTTAATAATAAACGAATGGATCCTTGAACGCCACCATTTTGTCCCACAGCTTTGGCATGTTGGACTGATAAAATGTCAGATATATTGATAAAAGGATATCATGAAGTAAACTTACTGTCGATTGCAACTAAGGAGATAAAGCGACATACTTGAATGTACAAGCCTAAACATGTATCAACATCAAATCGATTGAGTGTATCTGTGACAAGTGGTGATACATCAAACGTGTCGAATTCATCAAACAAAATCCCGCGTCTCAATTCTTTATGATCGACGATGGTTGTAAGATCTATCTGGTCATGTCCCGAATATTGGCGCGTCATCCCTTTGGCCAGCAAGGAAGCCAATCTCTGAATTCCAGCCACTTGAACAGTAGCTTGGTCTTCATATTCTTTCATGAATTTTACAACAGTGGTAACGTTGCTTACTGCAATAAGCTGCACGACGTCGTTTTCACTATAAAGTCTTGACAATAGAAATGCCACACTTTTCTTTACTACATCATCAAGTTGAGTCTCAAATGCTACCTCTTGAAGAATTGCAAGTCCATTCAAGTTTTTTAGCTGGTCACGACCGTCTTGACTACGACTGAGTAAACACAAACAGCGAAGACTTGTACGTAACACAACATGTCGAAAATGCTCTACTTGGTCAAAAGACACATGTGGAAACTCGGATATTGACTTAAATCGACGCCACGGACGCTCATACCATCGCTTGAAATGCTGACGCGATATTTGTAATTTGTGGGAATTACATACTGCATGGAGCAGAGCTTCAGTCACAGCAGGACTTTCAGTAAGTAATTCGATTTGAATTGATGTCTCTTGTTTGTCAATTCGTTTGGCGCCAATAAAATTATTGTCATCTTCAATACTTGAATTTCCTTCGTCACCAAGTTCTGCAATATGGAGGAAATATTGCACCGCTAGTGATAGCAATAAAATAGCACACAATAACAATATTTCAAAACGATAGCATAGATGTGATTACCTGTAAGAATAGGTTCAAGGAGCAATGGAGAGTGCTGACTCAATAAAACATGGATATGGATATCACGACGTAAATCGGAAACTGCACCCCCCATAAACAAGCGTTTGAGGCTTTAGCAACCAAAATCGCAATACATGCCTTTTTATTTACGTTTTTCTACATGCGTCACAAAGTAACAACTCTTTTTATTTTTTTTCTAACCGTTTTTTTACCAAACGTGTTAAGTAACAACAAGTCGATCTTCCATGGTTTTAGGCTTCGTCCTTGTGAGCATACTGCTTCTTGCCACGCAATTGCATCTCCCCAATCATCTCGAGATTCTTCTGCACAGCCTCGGCCGCCCGTTTTTGAAATTTCCATTGACCATCTTGTTTTACAACAACATCGGACCATGTGACAATCATCACGGGCGTACACTTCCAGAAAACTGTTGAATGCGACGTGACCGTAGCATTCTCGGCATCTGCGAGTTCAACAACATGACCACTTGGAAGATGACGCGTATCCGATAGAAATTTAAGTTGTGTGAGCTCCTGCAGTGCCGTCTCGATCTCGCTCTTGCCTGAGCAGACGCCACCCACGAGCTCCTCAAAGAACGTCGCGTCTTCCGTAAACAAAGCCAAGAGCGTCTTCACTGATTTCTCTCCTCCTTCAAGTGAGTAGGATAGCGCAAACTTGTTGACAAGATTAATGATTGCCGCAACTTCAGCCATCGTCTCTTTTAGCTTTAAGTTTGATTGAAAAGTGAGGGGAAAGTCTGCAAGTCTTCGGGTCGGGACGACCAAACAACAAGTCCTGATTAGGTACGATTGAAAACTCAAGTGTGAAGGTATTGCATTGTTGTCGCTGAATATAGCAACGAATAGCGACTGTATGTACAATACGACGGTCTGAAGATTGTGCTCGTCGTGTTGCGACGTGATCGGGTTGACGATCAGAATGGGAACTTATACATGCATTATAGTTCCAATGTAGTGTAGTCCTTGATTAGATATTATATGTCCTTTTTTCATGTCGCCAATGATATCTCGCTTTTTATAGATATTGCAATATAAAGATGAAGCGTATTGCTAAGAGCAAGTAGTAAATTTCAACTTTGAATATCGAAATTCTATCATATTATACCACTCCGTTTTTTCAAGCCAGATATTGTGCAGCCTTGGTTGAACACGTTCGGACAAGCACCGTAGCGAATGACTTAACGCTCCTCAGTATAAAGTTGAGCTACTGTTACGTGGTCAACGACTGCGACGAAACGCGAGCAACCGACAACACTTGGTAGCACTCGTAAATTGTAGTGACGCACAAGGACAACCGATGAACGGTACATAGCGTCATATGCTATAATCATACACGCTTGATTTTATATCTTCTAGGGAGAAAAATACTCGAGAGAATGTCATTCTAAAACCTTAGACGCGGTCAGTAAACTTATCCTATCTGCATCGATGAACACAAACACTTATTGCCCATGCGTTAGTTCCTGGATTTTTTTAATCAAAGTGCATGACAACCCCGTTGCCATGCACTTTGCCCAGAGGAAGCTCTGTTTCTCACAGTCCGCGTCAACAAGAGCACAGATGATAGATTTGAGCGCTCCTGCCAGGAACCAAGCTAAAGCCTCTCGGATAAATAGCCCTGTTCATTTTCTCAGCTATTTTATATCTAGGATTCGTGCTATACATACGATCTACATTTACAAAACTATCTTTATTTCTGGAGTGCAGGAGCTTTGGATCCATCCATTCCGGACTTCCAACATTTTCATAAATATTGTGATATTTTAGTAATCACGAATACCCAAAGTGTAACGCGAGTTTTGTGCAATCACGCCAAATTGTAATAAATATAATTGTACTAAATGTGTAGAGAGGTACACAAGGTACAGTTCTTGCCCCGTTGAACCTTCCCTGCTCTAGCTCAACGTCCCATCAGGACTATATAAAGCTTAAAACACGATGTGGACGCCGAGGTAACAACCCATCGCCTTAACTCCTTGCTGCTAACAGCCCCGTACGTTTACACGAGACAGCTTAAACAGCAACCGACCAAGATTCTATCCAATCGCGAGGTCGATTACCTCGCGATAGTATAAAGCGCGCTGCGTAGGGCATCCCCACCTCCTTAATTGGCGTATAAGAGCGGGTATAGGTATAGCCTCGATGAGATCACGTAGTTCGGTGGGTGTGTTCTCAATCGCTTTCGAGTATTAGAAGTGCAGTTTAAGCCCTTTTCGCGACGTCGCACCGCTCTAGCACGATTGTGGCTTGGTATTAAAGAAATTGCATGTGTAGGTACTTTAATTGCAATGAAGAAAACTTGTTGCTTTAAACATATTCTTGTGTGCTTCGCCTAAATCTGGCATAGGATCGTTGCTTTGATTTGTCATGGCTCTTAGCCATAGCGTCGCGCATCCTTACCATGACAATCCAATTTTGAAGAAGTGACTGATTCTGACAAAATGTGTAGCCACGCTAGTACCAGCAATTTGATTTTGATCGGCAATCCCTTCCCCACTTTGACAGATGCCTCTTTCTCAATAAGATGGATGAAGGCAATGTACTTGTGCAAGTAGTATGGAAGGTCAAGTTACATTCACAGCTCATTTTTAACATTAACAATGGCCGAGACCTTCGCAAGAAGAGCCTTTAATCCCTGTTTTCTGATGAAGGACCTCATCATTAGGGTTTTGTCGATACCAGAGACACGCCGAATATATTGGCGAACAATTATTAGAGGCGTCCTCTCAAGCATCGCTCGCAATTGCTCAATTTGGTATCTGTAACCAATACTACCGTGCTGTGCGCGACTTTGGATGGACGTATTGTCAGAAATGATTATTGCATAGCATGATGTGTCCAAGCAACTGTTTTTCTTAATATTAGGCGGAGGTCATTTTCGAAGCACTACTAGCTACTCGCAGAGCTTCTCGCTCGAAGTAATCACCCCAATGAGAAAAGAATCGTTATCCCTAATCAGCAGTGGTATTTACCATTAATTATATCGAGGGCATAGAAAAGCGTGCGACTGTCCATGCTGCCCCAGAGACAAGAATACTAAAAGGCTTTATTTAGATGATAAGGTCGACGTTTGCGCCGGAATCGTGGTCACATTTAGCTTATTCAAAATATGCCCAATTTGCCACTTGAAATTGGATTTTTTGCCATAGAGAGTCCACCCCGGGTGCGAATATTCTTCTCAACTTATTCTTACCAAGCCAGCAGCATGCATCGCACGGATGAAAGCGTTAATGTCATCCCATTGTTTCCCTTGAAAGAGTCATTTCCGTGTGGTGCAATGTTTGATAAAGATGAACAAGTCTCATCATGACCCCCTTCCCTATCCAGAGGTAGCATGCGTGGCGATACTTCCATCACCTCGTCCTGATTTGGCTTCGACAAAAAGGATAAGAAGGATTTGTAGGATCCTTGGGGGAGCTGTATCACTTTTCGCACTCTGTTCTCTGCGAGTGTCCTCAGTGACGAGCTCAGCTTTTTCTCTGATACTAATCATACCATTTTTGTGACCTTACCGCCTTTAACTTTGCTTGCAAGTATCCCCGAGGGTAGTTTTCTAGTCCCGTTAGAGCATCGAGGTAGTGACTGAAGGCCTGAAACTATTTTGGTGACCCCATTAACGAGAGAAAAAATGTTCTCGCCAATTATCCTTAAAGGGTAAAGTCTCCGCACAGTTGACCCGTCACATCGTAGCGAAATGAACCATACTGCTTAATTTCGTGACTAACAACCGTGCTTAACACCACCGACTCTGAAGCGGATATTGCGACACCCAGTCGCTTTCACTCTCCACCGGCCTGGCGCACAGCCATTTTTTATCGTCATGCCAGAGAAACTCCACAAGGATCACGGCATATAGTTGTCCTTTCTCGTCTCAAAAAAAGATACACTCCGGATATCGTGGTGTACAATCGCTCTTTCCGTCTCAACCTCCGACCTTGACTATTTGCCTTTTTGATCTTTTTTGCCTTTCCAAATTTGCTCAAAGCACCTAGCAGAAAATTATTGCAATCAACTTCAGGCAGTTCATGTCCTGCACAAGCTTTCGCTGTTTTGTGCCCGCGACAAAAGCGCTTCTATTTTCTGATAGAGATGATAATATGGCTCGCTGATGCTTCACCAGGAGGGAAATGCGTGGCATATAATATTTCGCCTTCCATTTGACCTATGGTTTATTGTGTTCCGGTTATGCCATGCCGAATATGCAACCGTATTTTACACTATGCTATGAGCTATACAAGATTTGACGTTTTTACAGTCCTCACACTTTACTTAGAGGTTTGTCATAACCTTCGACACATTTTTTAGTGTCGCCATCGCAAGACGCACGGATGTCAGATCCGTGATTGACATCTTCAATGTCTCAACTTATTTAGTAAGAAGTTAAATTAAATGTATTGCCGCTTGCTTACCAAAAAGCGGTAGAGTAACCACGGAAGGTCCCGGGACGTGCCGCGCTCGATCAAAGACACTTCATGAAGGTGGTAAATGTTACCTAATCGGGGAGAGGGTCAGATGCCATTGCGGTTTTTAGATCATCATAACAGACGATACAGTCGCTTTACGACTAGTTCGTGGGCATGATTACAAGACCTACCAATCGAATCGAGGATGCCGAGCACTTAGCGCAGAGGAAGCTTGGCTCTAAAGGTCGCGTAAACAAACGTCATAGATACTAGGACAGTGTGATTCTACCAGGAGCGAGGCCGAGGGCTTCATCGTAAATTGGTGTCTCGACAACGCTGTAGTTTCATGAATACATACACTTGGCACTAAAGCTACTGAAACTGCTACTACAAATATACGTTTGACTTTCTCTTATCATAACTTTTTTATTCCAGGACATAGTCCGCCAATTTTTGCCTCTTTCAATTGGTAGTAAGAAATTCGGATGCAGCCGATAGGCTTAAGTCCACGACATCCGTCGCTTTGATCATACCACGTTTGAAGCCCACAATAGACATAAGCGCTCCAAGCGTGTTGAGATGGTTTTCGAACAACTTGTGTTCGGTCTTTACAAATGATACAGTCTCTCATCACTCGGTCGTGGGGTAGGCTAGAAATGCTTCTGGGCGCAACGGGGTTGCTGTGCACTCTGCGCAGAGGAAGCTTAGATATCTCAGAGCCTGCGGAAACAAGCGCTCAGAGATGTATGGTTCGTGCGTTCTCCTACAAGGAGCGGAACCAAGAGCCTCTAAAGTAACCAATACAGGCCGCTCTGCTATCTCAAGACTGCATACATTCATATTTAGTCTGATTAATATGTACGTTTGTAATTTCTCATCTAAAACTGACTTGTTATCCAATGTGCGGCGAGCAGTCCGCGTGTCCCTCGGGTCCCTTCTTTTCGGTGTTTTTTAATCTTTGAAATAGTGTAATGTGAATTTCGTACAATTGTACCCATTTGTATTTAAAACAGCTTACTAAATGTATTTCATACAATTTCCTTAATGTATAAAGGTGAAGTTCGCAAGCTTACAGTACTGACCCCGGTACATAGAGTCCGCGTCAGCAAACGCACGGAGATTAAGCCCAGCTACTAAGTAGCTAATTACCTAAGTTGTCCTGCTATTTCAAGTGAGATTAATATGAACCTAATAACATATCATATATTCATTTCATACTACAATTATCTGTTACTTGACTTAGAAATAATAGCTCTCTTCTCTCTAAAGTTTTTTATCAATGGAAGAAGTAGTACATTTGAATGCTTACACAAAATTGTATAGGAATTTTGTACAATTGAACAATACCGTCGTTTTTACAATTGCATGGAAGAACATCTGAACCAGTAGTTTTGATTGTGTAATGTGTCCGTCCATATATGGTACGTACCGTGCTACACGGTGCCACTAGACCCTATTCAAAAAGGACGCCATACAGGCTGCGTCGTATAGATGAGAAGTCTGGAGTATGTTTGCTTGTGGCGAGAGCGGCAGTTTTCGCTAGCCCCCCAACCGTCGTCGCAGTGTTCTTAGCATGAATTATGAAGATTCTGTCAAAGTATTAAACCAGCATATATTACGATCCAGAATGTTAAGCTCTACTTTGTGTGATGAAATGAATATTCATTACATTCATGGTTTTTATTGATTCATATATTCGCCAGTACTAAGTTTAACCATTTCATTACCGCATTCTCATCAGGTTTTAAACGAAAGTTAGCATATCCAACTTAATTAAGCCTAAGTATCAAATTATATACCAGATAGAACCACAATAATTTATTCATTAACAGCCAAATTATTATGTATTGATCACTGTCTGAATGAAGTCGCCTTTTTTTAAGATCTAGAACATAATAGTAATTATATGCTTACAGCTCCGTCTATTCTCAAAGAATCAAATTGTATTAATAATAAGCATTTGATGTTCTATAAAAGGGCCGCGACCTCTTGACAAAGTCTCGTTCTGTCTGCGTCATCGCTCGACAACTCATTTGCTCTCTCGCTCTTCAATAAACATCGCCCTTTTTCACTCTCCCTGATATCTGAACGTCTGAAATACTGATCGACTTCGGAAAGCCGCAGCCGAACGGTAAGTGCGCCCATTCGGCAATTCTTCGAAATCCTTATTCTGAACACCTGAATATATACTTCTGTGATCCACTTATTTCTTAAAAGCCTTTATGGATTCAACCACCGCGGAACCCGACGATACACACATGGAATCTATCTGTACGCCTCGTAATAACAGCACCACGTGGAGCTTTGTCCAAATGAATATGTCGCTGCTTCCCATAGCACGTCCACTCCCTGTCAGTATCGCTCACAGATCACAGGAAGGAGCCGCACTGGCAGGTATTAAGCCTTGCACCCCGACTCAGAAACTACATCATCGATTGCGCCAGAAGACGAGCAATATTAGCCCAAGACGACACGACGTTGACATTCATAGAGCTCGATCTCCACGTTTAACGCCTACAAGTAGTCGGGGATTACCTCCAACATCGACGGGAGCCAAACGAAAGCATATAGAGACTTGGCAAATTCCTGCTATCGACACGTCAGTCTCTTCATCGTCACCAAGTTCGTCATCGAGAATGCAAAACTTGTGCGAAGAAGTGTACTTCCCAACTCCACGAATCGATAGTGGATATTCCAGTGATCCTGCCAGAAAGACACCGTTACGCTATAGCTCATTAAATCGAAGTGCTAGCTTTTCTTCAGTCTGTATTACTAACGGATTGTACAAGGGTAAGAGAATATTAGAACTACAAGACGAAGATCGTAGACTACATCCAGACAATTGCATTGCTATTTCATCGCCATCCAAGCGAAGTAAAAAGTAGCCGTAGTTGAGTCAAATTAATCTTTGGACTGCGTGCTTTCAATATTTTATACTGCAAGAAACGAAGATATCTAACTCTCACATAAAAGTCGTGGATACTCCACGCAGCGTTTTCGAAAAGAAAAAGATAAAATTCTACTAACTTGGCGAGACACACTTTAAGTAGTATAACGATTTGATTGTCTCCTTTTTCTCGCTTATAAAAGTTTTAATAAGATCGCACGGCCATTAAAAGCTTCCACGAAATCAAGATATGGGAGTTCTCACTCAAAGTAACTAGAGTCACAGAACATGCTCAGTGGCGCAAGCCGACTTCAAATTATTCGCGTTGCAAAACATAATCACGACGAAGTATAGAGCCAAAATATCGAGTTGACTCTTTAATCTAGATTTTTGTTCAAATGTTTTTCCAGCAAACTCAGCTTGATCTGAATTCTTCTACCGGAAGTTGCTCGAAAGAGAAAGTTGCCGCTCGTCGCAAGGATACAAAAGTCAATATATATAAACCTTTGCTTGTATCAAGCTACGCGAAATGCATCCTTTAGCAACTCTCCTCCGTGAAGGATCAGATGTCTCGTGGTTTGAAATTGTCAAAATAGCGACTGATCTTCCCAGTACACAGATCTTGTGTTGCCTCTGGCATATCCTCAAGTAGTTTTCCTGATCAGTTCAAATGTTAGCCTTAATATGTTATGACAATACAGGCACAACACAAGCCTTATGGACCTGGAATGCCACCAATCCTAGAAAATGGTGGGATAACTGCATCAGGAGGCACCACACTATTGTCTTCGATTCGGCAGCAATCTCGAATAATAACACGCTTACCCTGCATTTACAGACGAGTTTCCTTAGTACCGATTGCTATAATTATCTGTATCAAGCAAATTAAAACCGTACAATGACACAGTTCTTGCCAATTTGCACGTAAGACCCAATCATTGCAGCTTCCACGACCGTATCTTCCCCAATATATACGTAGTCGCCAATTTTCATTGGAATGAAAGCAATTCCTCTGTACAGCATAATATTTTGATTATAAAATCATTGAGGACTATCATGTGCAGCTAAGATCGTACGTGGACATGACTCTCATCGGTGGTTTCACGATGCATCGTTCTCTGATAATACACTGCTTTCCAAGTGACACTTTGGCTAAATCTGCGCGAACAATTGTACCCGAGTCGACAATCGTCTACGATCATGATGAAAAGACTTTACATATTAGTAAATTAAAATGCTACCATCTCGTCCACATAGTGTGAATGTTTAACGAACCTTGCCACGTAAATGAATATTGTGTGCACCGGATAGGGTGCACTTGCGGCTTATTTTGTTGCCAGATGACGTGTGGATATATGTTTCTGGATCGAAGAGTGTTTCTGCCGCCTCAACGTATGGGTTCATCGTTTGGCTTCGCTATTTGCACTACTTGTACATTCAAACAACTTAAACGATTGTTGTTTGAATGTTGTTCGTATCGTAATTGTGTGATGGTGAAGTGTGCCACATCTCATATTCGCTTTACTTTTAGGAAAATAGAGGCGATTTGAAAATGGTGCATCAAGCCGCAAGAGTATACGCATTCGCGTCTAATACTTTTTTGAAATCCTTGAGAGGTTTTCACAGTTTTCATCCATTACCAGCATCATCAAGATTGTTCTATATTTTCTACAAGAGTTGTGTGGAGGTAAAGATTACCAAGATTTGCAAATTATATAACTTCAACAATCTCTTATGTGCTTGTATATTTTCACAACCATTTTTGATTCGCATTCAGTAAATGCGACCGCTTTTCAGGGCTAACAGGGTGATAAAAGGCTGGTCCTGGTGCATTCCCTTTCATGCCCTTTTCTTCGACCCTCAAACTCTTCGACTTAAATACGCTCGCATACCCTGGCTTCTCTGCTAATGTACTCGCTAATGTCGGGGCTTCGTAAGTTCCTGGACCTACGCAGTACAATTCAGTAAAATTGAACTCCAACAATCATACCCTCGCTAAGATTTCATACCAATTTCCCCTTCAGTCATTCCTTCCAAAGGCAATCGTCCAAAGCGATCTGTCTTTCCACTACGAAATACAGCGCTCTTGTGAGCTTTGGCCACCGAATCAAATCGAAGTGCACTTTCTGCATCTTCGGCATTGTACGCTCCAGGACCAGGAGTAGACGTTTTATCAGAAGCTAGACGCTTAACTGACGATTTGAATACGGATCGTACAGAGCGGTGATCACGTAAAGGCTCTTCGAGTTTGTATTGCCCTGGTGCAGGAAATTCTGTCGAAATTTTCCATCCACGAGATGTCTTGGAAGCAAAGACAGACTTGGAGACGTTATGTGAGAGTGCTGATGCCGGTATATCTGCGTTGTAGTCAGCTGGTCCTGGGACATAAGGATGCCGAATCTGATTGTTGGAGTTGTTTGACTACAATCATTTACAAAAAATGATAAGATTAGATGTGCAGCCCTTAAAAGTAGGACCAGCGTACTCACCACATCTGCAAAACTGCTCATGCCGTGCTTTTTATTATGTGTTTCTCTATCATCCCTATGTTACATTTCGTGTCAAGGCAAGTCTTTAGTGGATAACTTACAATACTATTGAGGAGACGATAGAAGATTTGCATGACAAATCACCTTTTTGGATGGTATTGCCCAGGTCCAGGAACTACCAGCTTGACCTGGTCGCCAAATCGTTTTGTCTTCGATACGAACCCTGTACTATAGCCCAGTCGAGAGACTGATCCCGAATCAACTGTTGAGCGAACTAAACTTTGCGGTTTGTGATATTGGCCAGGTCCAGGCAATTCATTCTACAGAAAATTATATTGTAATTCTTGACTCCACTACATTAATCAACACCCTGCATACACACCTCGCAATCGCCAAAGCGATGAGTACGATTGCCAAAGCCGTTGCGCTCGTCCAAATTGTGACGCAAAACTACCTCATACTTGGAAGGAATCGAAGACACTTTCTAAAACAGTGCCAAATTTCTCATCTTAACACTTCGAAACTGGCATGAAGCAAAATCATACCATCTTTGGGTCTAGGGGTCGCCTGTGTGCTGCATTCCCACGAATGACAGATCCATTATACTTGGTCCCAACTTGTCGAAAGTTTGGCTTTGCTTGCACTTCTTCGGCCAGATAAGTCGAAGCGGGTAACTTCATTATCACGAAAACGTATCAGCATCTAAAATTAAAGTTGAATTTAACTTAAAAAGACAAATCTGTCGACTTGCTTTAGACTATGTCATATAGTACTGCTATTTTTATGTTGTAAATACTATATAGACAAATGTCAGCGCCGACATCGTTAGTGTCCTTTGGCTTAGTAACAGATGTGCAGTACGCAGATGTGGAGGACGGATGGGATTTTCACCATACGACAAAGCGATACTATCGCAATGCGTTGACTCAATTACATGCTACAATCGCCAACTGGTTGTATGAAGCCGAGAGTGGAACGAAACTTCGTTTTGCTGTAAACCTGGGAGACCTCATTGACGGTAAGAATCGACCAGCTTCCACATCCCACCAAGCCCTTACAAAAACAAGAGCAGCCTGGAGTCTATTTCAAGACGCCATTGGGCCAGTTCATCACCTCGTTGGCAACCACGAGCTCTACAACTTTTCGGCATCATTTATCCGGAAAGAACATATATCTCAACCACCAACAAAGTCGAACGATACTCCACAAGGTTGTTACTACGACTTTCAAGTAGATCAAGCACCCAGTTTTCGCTTTGTCGTGCTAGATTGCTACGGTTTGTCAATTTTAGGACGAGAAATGAGTGATCCAGTGTACCAGGAAGCATTAGCACTCTTGCGACGCGTAAATCCTAACGAGAATCTTAATTCTCCGACGGGTCTTGTTGAAGAACAACGACGATTTGTTGCTTTCAATGGAGCTATAGATCAAAAGCAGATGATTTGGCTGGAGGAAACACTGAAAAAAGCAACGAAAGCCGAAGAAAACGTGGTCATTTTTACCCACGTCCCTGTTCATCCAAGCACTACACCAACACCATCGTGCTTGTTATGGAATTATCCAGAAGTGTTAGAACTTATTCGACGCTTTGCTTGCGTTCGCGTTGTCTTTTCAGGTCATTCACATGCTGACGGTTATATTTACGCCCATGAAGGCATGCATAACAGTGGAGTGCACTTTGTCGTTTGCGATGCTATCCTAGAATGTGCTCCGTCTGAAACAGCCCATGCGTTGGTGCATGTCTTTGAGGACAAGCTGGTCGTACAAGGTTACGGCAAGGTTCCCACACGCGAACTATGCTTTCCGAAGAATGTATAACTATATCTGAAGCGCTTAGCTTCTGCAGAAGCAAGTAGAACGATCTCACCATATTGCCGCAGCATTTAAGGAAGCCGATGATTACACTTTTGCATCAGGTGTGCATTTTTATTTAAGCCCCAAGCCATCCTTACTTGAGAGGAAGCTAGCTCACCGAAACAAAAAGAAACTGTACGAACTGACTCACTTTTCCTCGTCTGCCCGAGCAAATAATTGCGATCTCTCTCATCTTATCAGCAACTAATCCGGTCTGAAACGATACTTGAGTGTGTAAGAGCTACAGCCAATTGAAGAGCACTAAGAGATTTCCTTTAGTGGTGTTTGTCGTTTTGCTCGGCAAAAGCGTGTCCTGTTAATGAGACATACGTCAAAGCATTAGATATTGAGCATTTCGCATCAATCATAGTGAAAAAGCACGTACTGTGGTGGCACCACCACTCGACCGCGCAGCCTGCACCACCTACAATGAGCATCATGTGCACAAGTGGTTTTACGCTGCCATTGTAGATGAAGCGATTTCCGTAGCCCTGCGCCCACGCATTAAACTTGTTAGTCGGTGGATTCGCCGTTCGAGCAGCAATTCCGGCACGGGCGCGGTCAACGAGATTAGCAGTGGCTGCACGCGAAGCTTGGTACTCCTGGGCAAGCTTCTCCGGATTGGTTTCAGCTAGGCGGCGAATTTCATCAAGCGTATATTCCTTGGTCATGTTGGTATTTGGTTGTTTCTGTGTTGTGCGGCTGGCCGGACAGTTTAAAATCCGCACGATGATTGATCAAAAAGGAGAGAAGACTATATCACGTTAGTTAAATATGTCAAAATTTCTAGTTGTCAATCAAAAAGACGCAGAGCCACACTATTGCTAGATCGAAAGGCCAAGTTGATTACCAAGCGCGTAAATGACAGTGTAGGGTTACGCTCTTTACAGTCAAAAGCACAATGTTATAGAATTAGCGATACCGAAGTAATGATACGATGGGAATCCGTAAGGGAAACGTCCGCTGTCAAACAATGCAGATAGCTTTATGTTCGAGAGTACATTTTAGTATTATCTTGAGTAGAATAAATCTTATATTTTTAATTCTTCAAATAGAACAGCAAAGTGCTGTTTTAGAGGCAATGCGTACAAACCCATCTTTTGTGCGTTAATTAACGCGGGCACATAGATTCAAAGTCAACTCGGTGCAAGACAAACAGCAACTGCAACGACTTATGATCAGTCCTAAGATCGAGCGTGTATGAACATGGAACACGAGTTGTCTATCTATCTGTCCTCTGGACCTCCAGAGACACTTGGTAAACATATCTCGAATGGTGGTCCCCGGCTAGGGAAACAATGGCTCAGAAGCCAAGCGAGGTAATAACAGCCTGGAAACGCTCACCAGCAACGAAAATGCGTTCGTAGCGCACTTCTAGTAAATGCAATTTTTGGTCATCGAGATGGCGTCCAGCCCTTTACGGGTAGGATTCCAGAGAACTCCACCTCTGGATAAGATTAGCTGCGGTATCCATCAATTCGGCTATGCTTCAAACGGAGCAACAGCGCATCGCACTTGCGGTCTCCAGGCCAGGACGCCGCGCGCAACCGAAGTGCGGTGCATCTGTGGAAAAGTGATTTCCCAAATGGAAGGTGCGGTACGTTAACACCGTACCATCAGGCTTATATCGTGCGTTTCAGATTTATATCCACCAGTCAAGAGTTGCGAAAATTAGCGGACTCGTCGCAAAGGCGACACACCCTCCTGATGGGGCGGTTACGGACATCATCATCATAAAGTGCAGCGGGGATGCCGTAACGCTTTCTCTTGGGGGAAGCTAAGTTTAAGGTCGGCGACCATTGTTCTGTACTTAGAACCAGTACGAGTATAGCGGATCGCAATCCACTTACTCCAAAAGTAACAAGCGCCGTAATCCACAGCTAGTTAGCCCTTTCGTTTAAATGTACACTGTATGTATTTCTGAGTTTTATCTGCGGCAAAGCCGCCTATATCCAAATCTATAGGTTTCCTATCTATATAGCAAAGCCTAACTACTGGCTGTTCCAGCCACGTACTGATTTCATATGAGAAAAAATTGAAAAGATGAGTGTAGCCACATCATCGTGTGGTCACACCATCTTATATAAACCACATCATATCGTGTGACCCACACCGATCATACCCAGCTTCCTATCTATATAGCAAAGCCTAATTACTGGCTGTTCCAGCCACGTACTGATTTCATATTTAATTGTAGCCACATCATCGTGTGTTCAAATCATATTATGTAAACTGACCGCCGAGCTTGGAGATAGCTATTGCCACGCGCTGTTGCACATCTTTCAGATCAATCACACTGAAAATAGTACTGCCAACCATTTCATCAAAAAAAATCCTTGCGCGGAATTGGAGGCTAGGCAGGTATGGTGACATCGTTCAATTTGTTCAAAGCGTGAACAATGCGCCAACCACCGGTGGCTTCTTCACACAAAATGTTGAACTGCAGTGTGGACGCGCATGACCAGCCTTCTGTCGCTGCATATAAACTCGTCAATTGCAATGATTTGTTCTTTTGGCAATGGCCTCTGCCGTGTGATACAATACTTCGGACCAAGAAATATGCTAATCTTATGATGAATGCCTCTGTCAAATGTCGATTCATCCGGCACCTTGTCTGGGAATATATCAGCATATTACTTAACAAGTCCATACACGGAGTTTGAGCTTAGATTGTTCCACGACTGCTCATCAAACCTTTCCTTCCGTCTCTTCACATCAAATACTCTCGCAGTATTAATTTCATCGTCAATAGTTTCTTCGATAATCGCACATATTTACGCGTAGCCTTTCGCCAGGCTACGCTTCAGCGTCTTCTTGATCATCAATGACAAGGAAACGAATACTTTGACTGAACTCTGGAGATTTCTAATCGTGACGTGACGGATAATATCGACGTCACCTTCTTCGTTGTAGCCAACAACATGTTTAAACTCGCTTGAAATTTCTTGTTCTTGATCACCTCCTTCATTAATACGACTTATCGGGGCACACACAAAATACTTGACGGAAAGCGCTTCTTGGTGGTCTTCTTCTTCTTCTCTCAGGATGAGTCTTTGTCTCCAATTCCACTATTCTTCATACTACCATCAACCATGCCTTCCATGTCGATAGCAAAAGAAACAGTTTTTTTCTGATGCCTGACTGCTCCATCTCTATTTATTCTTTTTGAGCTTGTCCTGTGAACGTGGGGGGCATCGCACACCATAATAGCACTTGGGATATCAGTGACATCTTCAACCGATCCATGTGTCCATTCGTTGTCATGCTGCTCGAATTAGCGCTGACCCTTTTCATTTTCATCAAGTCAATGCTAGGCTGATATCGCTTCAACCATGGCATACCTAGGATGATATCGAATTTACCATCAAGAATGAGTACGATAAACTCGTCTTCAGCTCGGAAATCCTCAAACTTCATTGCCAAGCCAAATAAGTTGCTTTGAAATCTTCATTCTAGATCCATTCACTAAACGAATGATCGTTTCTTTTATCATATTGAGCAGGCTAACATCATGCCTAGTCATTACTCGCGCTCGAACGAAGTTGTTCGACTCACCATTGTCAATAAAAGCTTGTAATGGTTTCTCAAAACCATCTATAAAGCCTTCTTGGACAATCAAAGTTGCACTTTGCCTGACACTTCCATCACTCAGTGGAAACTGCATGTACATCATGCACATTGGGGACAGAGCTCTGTGTATCCACAACTTCCACAGCTCTATTCTCGGACCCAGTAGATAGCCCCGTCCCTACTGGTCATTCCCGTTTTTTTACCTTTTGGAACACTAGAACCGGCGACTTTTAAAGCGTCTATGGTTGTCCGAACGAGCACTCTGTGTCTGTTACCAACTCGGCAAAGGCAATCTGCGATTCGGGCAATATGACCCGGCTTCCGATAACAAAAACAATTCCCATCGTTGCATGGACCCTCATTTCAAGGTGTGGAAATGTACGACATGTCCATCGGCTTTGGACCATCACATGTAGCGGTCGACTGGCACGCTTGCCTTGGTGCGAAGCCATTGACCTTGGCTTGCTTGATGCTGAACTCTTCCTTCATCGCAATATTGATGGCATCATTCAGTGTCTCGGTATACTCACGGAACAATTGCTTCTGGATTGGACCATCAGTCAAGCTCACCATGAACGCTAGATCTTGCGTTGAAATGTCAGTTGGCTCGTCGACAATGCTTGAAACAAAATATCGAGCACGCTGTGCATACTAGTGTAAGTCGTAACGAAGCTTCAAAGACTCGGTATGGACACGGAACCCATGTGTGGTAATATAAACGCCTTCGTTAGCTCGCATTTGAAGTGTTGGTAGCTTGGAAAGCGGTTTAGACCGTTCAACGCTTCCCAAGCACCCAGCTCTTAGCATGACCCGCAAGGTTGGACATCGCGAACAACGCTTGCTGCAAGGGGTCTCGTAGTTGTCATGCAGTGGTTGCTGCAACCAACTCGACAAACCAATGCGAAAGAGGCTCGTTCTCTCCACCACGATACAAAGACACGTTCAGTTTCAGAGGCATCGTTCTGAACGAAGAAACTGGGGTTGCGTCCTGCTTCTGAAATCCCATAATCTCAAGGTGCATGAAACTGACGGCTGCGTTCTTCTGATCATCCGGAGAAGACGACTGCAGTAAGTTGACTACTCAATGACTTCTCGCATCCGCTCGAGTGTCATCTACTGATGTGAAGACAAATCAGGTCACTTCTCATTTGCCAACACCTCAGTGTGCGGTACGGATGGACCGAGTGGTTTCCCAACTATCTGTATGTCGCTCGGACAAGGACAAGAGTATGACTTGGACTGGAATGTGCGACGTGCTCAACAGCCGCGTCGTCAAACCAAAATCAAATGTCGTTTAAAAGACCGCTCGAAGTGCTACCAGGTGTAAGAGGGCGCTGTTCATATACAGGGCCTGTAACACAACACACGCTTGTAGGACGAGGAAGCGATTAACCCTAGACGTGAAGGGCGAAGGACAGTTCAAACTTGAAGTAAAAAAACGACTTAAGCCTTCAAGGGCGAATTTGCAACTGAATTAAAATGAGTTATGGTCCCTAGCTACATGCAAAACACCCCATGGGCTCCTAGATGTTCAACTAATAATATCTTAATTTATAGTTCAAGGGTGTACTGAGGTGTAACTTTGAAAGATTGAGCTTCAACAGTCATGAAGAATATCTAGCAAAAGTGGGTAGCGTAAGCCACCCACTTCTAAAGACAGAGACATGTCGGTTTCGTCACTGGTACAGATTCCCTCGTACGAACCAGCATTCTGTATCACACAGAATGTTTTCAACTAATTATAAGAAATCATGTATGCATCTGGAACTACCATACTACAGTATTCTTTTATAATTCCCCACAATGCATTCAGAAGACCCACAAATGTACATTTATGTAATAGCTAAGACAGAGGACTAATGCTACATCGACTATGCAGCGTGGCTGCCGTAGCTCTTTTCTTAGAGGAAGCAACGCCAAGGTCACCGACCTTACATTCTATACTAGAATGTAGCGGGTCGCAACCCGCTGCCCCCAAGAGCACCCAAAACGTTAATCCAAGGCAAATTCGCTCTTCCGCTCAAATTCAAACTGCTTTTTTGTTTTTAGGTTTTCTTAATTGAATAGTAAGACCTGATTTGACTACTCACTTAGTGGCTTTTTGTTAAGGATTACACCATCTTGTGTGACCCACGTCTGTATACCAGGAAACGTTAAAAACTTATACCGTTCTATCATCTCTATAACTCAAAGTGTTTTGATCTCCTGACGTGTGACTAGCAGCTCATGTAAACTACGGGTAATCCTTTTCATAGTCTCATCCTCCCATAAACACCAATACTTCAGTACTTATGAATGTTCACAATTGCACCAATGTTAGTTCCGTACAATTGTGATCTTATATTTCGATACGACTGATAAAACACAAATTTTCCGTTTCAATGACAACGATCAGGTTCAAAAGTCTATTCGTGTGGTCACATTAGCAAAGCAAAATTGTTAATCACTTTAAGCGTACGGTCTCGACCACAACGAACTTATCACTCTCCTTAATCGCAATCTTAAACTCCTTTCGAAGTTCTTTGACACTCTTGGATGACAGCTTTTGCTTTTGAATCTGTTCAATCAGTCGATCACGCAGCGCATGCATCTCCATCTCCTTGCTAGCCACCTTAAGCGCTGATTTGATTAACTTCTTCCACTTGAAAGTCTTGACCTTGGTCTTACTCTTCTTGTTTATAGTCTCCTCTACTGTATCTTCAGATGGTCTTTTCTTGTTAACAGCCTCCTCGGCACCAACTGTCGTACCATCGTCCGCTACTACTGCAGCCTTTTTAAAAGCCGTCTCGTAAATGATCCAGGCCTTTTCAACAAGTGTCGTATCCCGCATCGCCAAGCTGTTAGAAACAAAATTGACAAACTTATTCTTTTTGCGGGGTACGTTGTCGTATCCAGCGATGCGAGTGAGCACATCCTGAACCTTGCGGTCTTCGGGGCAAGTAGCCGATTGAACGACATCCATCCAACGCTCTTGTGGCGTCTTCTTCTTTCCACTACTTTTTTTGTTCTTATCGCCCTGATAGAGAGTTTTCTCATACTTCTCGGCCTCTGATATGCAGCTCGTATGTGCTGCATAGTCGTTGCCTTCGAATACGATGCTGCAATCTACACAGCTCACAGCCCAACAATTACGACATCGACCTGCATGTGCGTCAACTTTATTTTTCTTCAGTGTCTCGTTGCAGCCTTCGCATACAAAAAACACCATCGAGCTACAAGTAGCAGCTCAAAAACGAGACTCTCGTTGCCATCCAAAAGCATGATAGACACTGTTCACTTATCAAGTGATTTAATTGGGCTAAATACGCCAAGATGACTCACCAATCATCGACTTTGTTAAATTTGGCGCCAGCAACTTCACTTTCTGATGCTTCATTATTGATCGTAACCTTGATGGAGTCTTCTCCAGTTGCCTCTGTAACTGGCAACAAACGCGTGCGCCGCGAGATTGAGCCGCAGGACGAGGAAGAAGTCGTGACACTTTCAGATGTACTTAAGCACAATGAACAAATGACAGAGGCGGCAGATGCTGTGCTAGGAGATGCTAGTGACACGCACTGCAGCTACCCCATGGGATACATGCGTCAGGCGGTCTATGCCTGCTTGACTTGCACTCCAGACGCGGCTGAAAAGCCCGAGACGCGCGCTGGTGTTTGCTTGGCGTGTACATATAATTGTCATCAAGATCACGAGCTCTTGGAGCTATACACGAAACGCTCATTTCGCTGCGACTGTGGCAATGGAAAGTTTCCCACTAGTGAGTTTATTATGTTGTCTTCGACGCAGGCTTTGGTGGTTTGCTTTTATTAAAAATGGTCATGTTTTCTGTCAGGTAATCCTTGCAAGTTAGAAGCGGACAAGGTGTCGACAAACTCTCGCAATACGTATATACAGAATTTTGGAGGGCTGTACTGCAATTGTCATCGACCGTACCCGGATCCAGAGAGAACGACGCCAGAGGTCATGATACAGTGCGTCATTTGTGAAGACTGGCTGCATGAAGAGCACATATTTGAGAATGTGGATAAGTCCTTGGTTACCAATGAGATGACAACTAGTACGCAAACAGATACGCCAGCGACGGCTAACGCGGACAAGGAGTCGCCTTGCGACGTAAATACTAAAATCGCTTTGACAGTTCCGCAAAATTTCGATGAGCTCATTTGCTTTGAGTGCATGAAGAAGCATCCATTTCTCATGGTCTATACAGTGGACTGTGCAGATGAAAGTCTCGGTGAAACATCAACTAATGCTGTTTCGAACGAATGCACTTTTAAAGTGAGACAGCGACAATTAGAGGATGAGAAAACAATTCAACCGACGTTTTGGTCCAGCGAGTGGCGCAGCAAGCTCTGTAACTGTTCGTCGTGTGTTGCTCTGTTTGAGAATCATAAAATTGCGTTTCTCTTGGATCCCGAAGACTCGTTGCATGTATATGAAGCGAGTGCGAGAGCCAAGAAACAAGCATCCGATGAAGAAGTTGCTCACGCAACTTTTTCCAACAAGCTGACGCATGAACAACAAGTGGAGGTGGCCATGGGATACAGTCTCATGAAAAACAATCTGCAGCAATATCTAGCCGGCTTTGCAGCTACAGGCAAGATGGTTCGAAAGGAAGATATCCAGACTTTTTTTGAAGGGCTGAACCAAGCGAAAAAACAGAAGACTGAGTAAACTTACAAAGAAAGTGAAGGACGAAATTTATTTTTTATTTTTTACCTTTGCTTCGTGTTTATAACAACTTGTTCACGAACTCGAAGATTTTGGCAGACAGAGGCGGTTGCACCTCAAGCGCATCACCAGGCTTAGCCGTCTCGATCGTGGCAGCCAAACGTGCACCTTGGTCGATAGCACGCTTTGCATCCAGCTCTCCAGCTTCATCGGCACCACCGATTCGATAAACAGGGATACCCTTCTCTTGCAGTGGCATCTCCAGTTCTCGAAGTGGTACTTGACCAGCACAAACGATTACGTTGTCCACATCCAAGATTTGTTTCTTGCCACTCTTGTCCGTGTAGTGTAGTCCTGCGTCATCTACTTTGTCATACGATACGCCACCAATCATTTTAACGTTGCGGTGTTTGAGTGAAAGTCGATGGATCCAACCCGTTGTCTTTCCAAGATCCTTTCCGTGTTTCGTGCTCTTTCGCTGCATCAAGTAGATCTCGCGCGCTGGTGGTGGCACACTGGACTTGATACCAGCCACACCACCACGTACAGAGTTGGTCGTATCAATTCCCCACTCACGAGCAAACACTTCGACGCTCGAACTTGTCGACTCGCCAACGTGCGTGAGAAATTCGGCGACGTCGAATCCAATGCCACCAGCACCAATAATTGCCACCCTTTGACCCACTTTCGATTTTTTTTTCAGAACGTCCATGTAGCTCAAAACCATAGGATGATCTGCACCTGGAATTTTAAGGGGCCGAGGCAGTACACCTGAAGCCATAACCACCTTGTCAAAATCTCCAGCAGTCAGATCTGCAGCATCAACACGACGTCCATGTTTGACATTGACACCATTGAGCTTCAATTGCTTTTGAAAGTACCGAAGCGTCTCGTGAAATTCTTCCTTTCCTGGGATGATCTTAGCCATGTTAAATTGCCCGCCAATGACATCAGCTTCGTCAAATAACGTCACTTCATGACCACGCAATGCCGCGGTCGCTGAAAATGACAACCCAGCAGGTCCAGCACCAACAACCGCCACACGCTGAACATCTTTTGAAGCAGACAGCATGAGAATCAGTAAAGAATATTTGCTTCAATCGCTTTACTTTACCAGTGGTTGGAAAGTAGTTCAGAGAAGTTTCGTAGCCCGACCGCGGATTTACTAGACAACTCGCTGTAATTCCCTTGAATGTGTGATCTAGACACGCTTGATTGCATCCAATGCATGTATTGATCTCGTCTACTCGGCCTTCTTCTGTCTTTCGTACAAAGTCTGGATCTGCTAAGAACGGTCGTGCCATCGACACCATATCTATCGCACAACAACATCAAAATATCAGTGAAGAGATTCATTAACTTCTGAACACCATTAGGCCACCAGCTCGTCCTTCGGCGATAATTTTCTCGGCAACATCCGGCATATTAATTCGGTTAGTCGTGATCAAAGGAATTGAGACTTCTCCCATCATTTTCTGTGTCACCCATGAGAATCCACCACGTGGTACACTTGTAGCAATCGTCGGAATGCGTGCTTCATGCCACCCAATGCCCGTGTTGATAATTGTCGCTCCAGCAGCTTCAATTTGCTTCGCGAGCATCACAATCTCATCCCATGTACTGCCTTTTTCGATCAAATCCAGCATCGATAATCGAAAGATAATAATAAAATCCTTTCCGACAGCAGCACGCACAGCTTTAATTATCTCAATCGGAAAACGAATTCGGTTCTCGTATGATCCCCCCCATTGATCCCTGCGTTTGTTCGTATGTTCAACAATAAATTGATTTATCAAATAACCTTCTGAGCCCATAATCTCCACGCCATCATAACCAGCTTCCCGTGCCCGTGCAGCACAATTTGCATAATCTTCAATCGTACTTTTTACCGCAGCATTTGACAATTCTCGTGGCGTAAACCAACCAATTGGGGCTTTTATTGGTGACGGAGCCACAGCGAATGGATGATATCCATAGCGTCCACTGTGCAGTATCTGCATAGCGATTTTACCATCATTGTCATGCACTGCCTGAGTCACTTCCTTGTGAGCAATCACCTCGCGTTGTGTTGTTAACTTAGCAGCCAGAGGGCTCACTCGGCCTGCACGATTAGGAGCAATCCCTCCCGTGACAATAAGACCTACATTCCCCTTTGCTCTGATCATGGCAGAAAGAAAGGTATGATTTTCGAAGTGAAAAGGCAACATTTAAATTGAACGACGTACCTTTCGGCAAAGAAAGCAGCGAGACGAGTGAGCGACTTTCCCTCCTCAAGTCCTGTATGCATGGAGCCCATAAGTACGCGATTCTTGAGCTTCGTGAAGCCCAGATCGAGTGGTTGTAGCAAATGCGGGTACTTGCTCATAGTTGTGTGCGCCGTTTTGTTGATCGACCCTCACGTCAGAACCCGACGAGATCATCGAAATTGCTTTCGACAAAAATCAAATATTTTCGGCTTACTTAGATTTTTTGCCAGTATGAATGCAAGTATTGCAAAAGTGAGATACTTTGAAGCATCAAAGCAGAATATGAATTAATGCAGTAAGTTGATGTGATCTGCCAGTTACGAACGTGATATTCTGCATGCAATACTGTTGTGATGAGAAATACTAATGAATATATTTAACGGATTTTTACGAATAGTGATCGGTCTTTTATTTATTAGTAGCCTCAAAAAATCGATCACTTTTAACAGGAGGTCTACAATTCGTAGAGGGCTACTATATCTCGACGACATCAACGTCATCCAAGGCTTGGTCTAGCATCTACATTGAAAGGATCATCCTCTCTTTCACTGTCGGCATTGCTCCACCTTTGCTG